ACGACAGCAGCTGCGCCTGTGGAGGGGTGAAGTGGGGCGAAGAGGGGTGAAGAGGGGTGAAGAGGGGTGAAGAGTGGTGGAGTGGGCAGGGGAAGGGAAGGCTCCCTTTCTCCCAGCACCAGCAGCACCGCGTGCTCCTCCAGAAACGACAGCAGCTGCGCCTGTGGAGGGGTGAAGTGGGGCGAAGAGGGGTGAAGAGGGGTGAAGAGGGGTGAAGAGTGGTGGAGTGGGCAGGGGAAGGGAAGGCTCCCTTTCTCCCAGCACCAGCAGCACCGCGTGCTCCTCCAGGAACGACAGCAGCTGCGCCTGTGGAGGGGTGAAGTGGGGCGAAGAGGGGTGAAGAGGGGTGAAGAGGGGTGAAGAGTGGTGGAGTGGGCAGGGGAAGGGAAGGCTCCCTTTCTCCCAGCACCAGCAGCACCGCGTGCTCCTCCAGGAACGACAGCAGCTGCGCCTGTGGAGGGGTGAAGTGGGGCGAAGAGGGGTGAAGAGGGGTGAAGAGGGGTGAAGAGTGGTGGAGTGGGCAGGGGAAGGGAAGGCTCCCTTTCTCCCAGCACCAGCAGCACCGCGTGCTCCTCCAGGAACGACAGCAGCTGCGCCTGTGGAGGGGTGAAGTGGGGCGAAGAGGGGTGAAGAGGGGTGAAGAGGGGTGAAGAGTGGTGGAGTGGGCAGGGGAAGGGAAGGCTCCCTTTCTCCCAGCACCAGCAGCACCGCGTGCTCCTCCAGGAACGACAGCAGCTGCGCCTGTGGAGGGGTGAAGTGGGGCGAAGAGGGGTGAAGAGGGGTGAAGAGGGGTGAAGAGTGGTGGAGTGGGCAGGGGAAGGGAAGGCTCCCTTTCTCCCAGCACCAGCAGCACCGCGTGCTCCTCCAGGAACGACAGCAGCTGCGCCTGTGGAGGGGTGAAGTGGGGCGAAGAGGGGTGAAGAGGGGTGAAGAGGGGTGAAGAGTGGTGGAGTGGGCAGGGGAAGGGAAGGCTCCCTTTCTCCCAGCACCAGCAGCACCGCGTGCTCCTCCAGGAACGACAGCAGCTGCGCCTGTGGAGGGGTGAAGTGGGGCGAAGAGGGGTGAAGAGGGGTGAAGAGGGGTGAAGAGTGGTGGAGTGGGCAGGGGAAGGGAAGGCTCCCTTTCTCCCAGCACCAGCAGCACCGCGTGCTCCTCCAGGAACGACAGCAGCTGCGCCTGTGGAGGGGTGAAGTGGGGCGAAGAGGGGTGAAGAGGGGTGAAGAGGGGTGAAGAGTGGTGGAGTGGGCAGGGGAAGGGAAGGCTCCCTTTCTCCCAGCACCAGCAGCACCGCGTGCTCCTCCAGGAACGACAGCAGCTGCGCCTGTGGAGGGTGAAGTGGGGCGAAGAGGGGTGAAGAGGGGTGAAGAGGGGTGAAGAGTGGTGGAGTGGGCAGGGGAAGGGAAGGCTCCCTTTCTCCCAGCACCAGCAGCACCGCGTGCTCCTCCAGGAACGACAGCAGCTGCGCCTGTGGAGGGGTGAAGTGGGGCGAAGAGGGGTGAAGAGGGGTGAAGAGGGGTGAAGAGTGGTGGAGTGGGCAGGGGAAGGGAAGGCTCCCTTTCTCCCAGCACCAGCAGCACCGCGTGCTCCTCCAGGAACGACAGCAGCTGCGCCTGTGGAGGGGTGAAGTGGGGCGAAGAGGGGTGAAGAGGGGTGAAGAGGGGTGAAGAGTGGTGGAGTGGGCAGGGGAAGGGAAGGCTCCCTTTCTCCCAGCACCAGCAGCACCGCGTGCTCCTCCAGGAACGACAGCAGCTGCGCCTGTGGAGGGGTGAAGTGGGGCGAAGAGGGGTGAAGAGGGGTGAAGAGGGGTGAAGAGTGGTGGAGTGGGCAGGGGAAGGGAAGGCTCCCTTTCTCCCAGCACCAGCAGCACCGCGTGCTCCTCCAGGAACGACAGCAGCTGCGCCTGTGGAGGGGTGAAGTGGGGCGAAGAGGGGTGAAGAGGGGTGAAGAGGGGTGAAGAGTGGTGGAGTGGGCAGGGGAAGGGAAGGCTCCCTTTCTCCCAGCACCAGCAGCACCGCGTGCTCCTCCAGGAACGACAGCAGCTGCGCCTGTGGTGTGGTGTGGTGCGGTGCGGTGGGGTGGGGTGGGGTGGAGCAGGTCGAGGTACAGTGTGAAGGCGGGAGGTGCAGATGATACACAGCGTGTCAGCACGTCACCGACTGGGAAATGTGACTCATGCCAAGGATTGAATTGTCTCACAGGGACTCACTCATTCCCCAACATGGAAGATTAGTCTTACCCCCTACCTTCGCCTCCCTCCCTTCCCCTCTCGATGTTCCCTTTCCTCTCACATCCCCTCACAACCCACCCCAATCCCCTCCCCTCACCTTGCTAGCAGCGAGCTCGCGGTCCTTCAGAATCACGGTAATCCCAAGGTCGAAGAGCACGGGGGGCGGGTACAGCTGCACCCACTGGTTCTGCACTGCACTGTCTCAACACTACCACACTCTCCCCAACATAGAAACCAGCCTTGTCTGTTTAACGTTTTCTCTCCCCACACCTCCGCGCACCTTGCTAGCGGCCGGCTCGCGGTCTTTGAGGATGACGGCAATCTCAAGGTCGAAGAGCACGGGGGGCGGGTACAGCTGCACCCATTGATTCTGCACTGCACTATCTCATTACCATGCTTTCCACAACGGACAGTCGATCCCCTCCCCTCACCTTGCTAGCAGCTGGTTCCCTGTCTTTGAGGATGACGGTAATCCCAAGGTCGAACACCCACTGGTTCTGCATCTCGTGCGATTTGTTGAATTCGGACATGAGCGTCTGCCAGTCTCACCCCTCTCCCCCCAAGAATGCCCTGAAAGAATTTGTCACTCCCCACTCCTTCCCTCCCCTCCCCTCCAATCCTCCCCACCCTGCAACTTCATACAAAGCTGTACCCCCTCCCGTTGCGCACCTTGCTAGCGGCTGGCTCGCGGTCCTTGAGGATGACGGTAATCCCAAGGTCGAACAGCACGGGCGGCGGGTACAGCTGCACCCACTGGTTCTGCATCTCGTGCGATTCGTTTAATTCCGACATGAGCGTCTGCCAGTCTCCCCTCCCCTAGAATCCCTGTAAAAAACGCTTCCTTTCCCCTCCGCTCACCTCCCTGAGTGCAATTCCTGTAGCAGACTGCTTCAACTCCCCTTCCCATACCTTGCTAGCGGCCGGCTCCCTGTCTTTGAGGATGACGTTGATGCCTAGATCGAACAGCACGGGCGGCGGGTACAGCTGCACCCACTGGTTCTGCATCTCGTGCGATTCGTTGAACTCCGACATGAGCGTCTGCCAGTCGTGCCACTGCATGCCACCCTTTCCGCCGAACCGCGACGCCGCCGCTGCCATCGCCGCCATCGCCGCCGCCGCCATGATCGGTCGCTGAACGGACGGACGGATTTACGGACGGAATGAATGCGACGGGCTACAGCTGGACGATTGGAGAACTAGTGGATGGATGGACGGACGGGAGGGAATGAAAATCTTTCATGAGAAACGGATAGCATGGCAACGACGGATGGTCGTGGCGGCGACCGTGATATCCGGACAGCTTAACGAACGGATCGTGGAACTTTTTGGTGCCTAAAAGCAGGATTCTGATCTTGAGCGGTGTCGACAACTACGGAGACTTGCCAGCAGGGAGTCTTCGAACGCGTGGCCAGCTTTTAATCAGCGGTGCGCGGGTCGCGTCGCGCCATAAACCATAAGGCCAGCTTTTATTCCTGCTTCCTGCTGAATGTGAAGTCTCTGCTGTGGGGGGAAGGCAACATAGTCAAACCCGTTACGGGCCACGATCCCTAGCTAGTAAATTCGTCATTACATGCTCCGTGTTTTTTTTTAAGATCATTTTGCACGTAAATAACAAGCAAAACGGTACAAACAAACCATTTTCTGACCATGCAGCGAAGAACGATGTAACAAAACTAGGCAAAGTTATTGGTGGGCACGGAAAGAGAGGAGAAAAGGAGAAAGAGTGGAAGAAGAGAGGAGAGAGAGTGGAAGAAAAGAGGAGGAAGAAAACTAGGGAGAAAAAAAGGAGAAAAGGGAAACACAGCCTCAAGAAAAACCCCAATAGCACAGCACAAAAAGAGTTCCAGAAGACACCCCAACGAGACATCCTAACAGTACACCCCATCGAACCCAACCCCCCCCAACTAAACCCACCCTCTAAACCTGCATGTCCACCAAATAGGGCGCATCCGCCCACGGAGCATCGTATCCCATCTCCTCCTCAGTGTCTTCCCTCTCCTCAGTGTTCTCTATGAACTACCAGCTAACTTCTATGTACATACCTAAATTTGGTCTAAATATATATAAAAAAAAAAGCATCAGTCAATTCGGGAGCTGATTCTTCAGACGGAAATAAGGTAAGCCTGAACTATATGGGAACTGACATCACCAGTTCCTGTAAGGCTAAGTTATCTACACTGTTCGTCCTACGCGACCCGTTACAAACCCATCCCCGTCTTTGTGTGCCTCTCCTGGAGCAACTCCCCCTCCTTTCGTTGCCCCTCCCTCACTTGGCGACAGGTCACACACATAATTGTTCCACGTCATCGCGACCCCGAGCTAGTTCAGGGGCGTAACTGAAGTGACTTCAAGTGCCTACGTCTGACTTGCGGTTCATCGCCGGGATTCTCAAACTCGGGGCACCAGACTTCGCTAACCGTGTGGTAACGTTTCTACCTGCATTTCGAGTCATTTCGCAAATCCCCTAACTGGTTTTTGATTCCCCTGCAGCGTTCGCAGAACACATCCCAGGCCCATTGCGCTTTTTCCATCCCATCGCACACCCTTCCCAAGCCACTCCACCGTGCCCCATGTGCCCCCATACAAACGCAGCAAAACTCTCGCATCTTGATTTCGTACATCTTCACATTGAATGTCTTTCGGAGCTCGTTTCTTTCATTATCACCCAGCGTCCACCAGCGACGGAAGAGACACCTACTTTCGCCGTGGGTTCGATTTTATTTTCCCCGCTTCTGCCGCGGGCGCTCCATGCGCCACGAGGATCCTGCTTACGATGAAACCAACAAACGTGCCATGTGGATTGGTAAGCCGAAACAGCCGAGTCGCAAACACGCTGCTTTCCCGTACGAGCAGTAACCAATGTCGGCATCAGCGCCGGCGCCCGTTTCTCAAGGCGCCTCAGAGCCCTGTATTCGGACGCGATTCGAGGAGAGCCTTTTCAACTCCCGTTTCCCAGAACCTTCCTTATCTCCATCCTCGATATCTCTTAAATCGCTTCTCGCGGTTTCCCGGCTGGCTCCCCCTTCTCTCCCTCTTTCTGCTCGTCTTCTCCGCCAAACCCGGTGTCGCCGACACGCGGCTAATGTCGGGCGGGTTTATCCGCGACGCCGTTCTCTCGCACTGCCCTCCGCACGTGCCGGAATTGTCGTCTTCTGACGGCGCTGCCGCCCCGCTCCCCGCCGTCCCTTTCCTCCTCTCCTCTAACTCCGTCATTCGCGGCAAATGGCGCTACCAAGACCCTCCCGCTTCCGCCTCCGCCGCCGCCGCCGCCGTTGTCGCTGCCGCCCCTGACGGAAACGACACTTCATCGTCGCTGGCCGCAGCAGACGGCTTGCCGGCAGGATCAGCCGGCCAGCCGGCAGTCCGGCACAAGGTCCTGACGACCGACTCGGGCGCGTTCGATTTCTGGACGGAGCACGTGGTGCCGACGGAAAACGGCACCCTCGATGTAGGCGCGCTCGTTTATATCACATCGCAGACGGAGTGGGCGGAGAGTTACATGGGGACGGTGGTGGTGCGCGCGGAGGGGTATTTTTCCATGCGCGCGGGGGTGCTCTGCATGGTGGGGTGCCAGAGCCGGCTGGGGGGAGGCGCGGGGGGAGGGGAGGGGGAGGAGTCCGCGGAGGCGGAGGATCCGTACGCGGATCCGCGGAGGTGTAATATGCTGCTTGTGCTGAAATTCAAGGCGAAAAACGAGGTGAGACGGTGGAACAACAAGGTGTATTGTGGTGGGGCGTAGTGCCTGCTGGTTTGGTGGGGTGGTGTGGGGTGCCTAGGAGGTGCAACATGCGAAGAACGAGGTGTAGGTCTGTTCCTTGCCTTGCGTCTTGACTGTGGGGAGCTGGTACGTGGTGGGTGTGCATAACACCATGGCTGAAGCCTGGTACGTGTTGGGTGTGCATAACACCATGGGTGAAGCCTGGTGCGTGGTGGGTGTAACATCAGGACCAAATCTCTCTTCTGCGCATCCTCACAAGCGAATCACTCCAGAGGGCTTAAGCAAAAAAAAATTAACGATGCGAGAGCAATGAACTGTGTTGTCCATGCAGGCAGCTCAGAGAAGCAAATGCGGAAACACAAGAGGGGTGATACGGCAGAGGAAAGTGCACGGAGAGCTTGGAGTGGAGCAAACAGAAGTGCGGCTCTCCCCGTCTGACTTTCACTTTCCCCGTCCGCCTCTCTCCTCTTCCTTCCTCCTTCGCCCCATTCGCCCCCTCTATTCCTCGTTCCACGCCCTGTGTCCCCTCTTCATCACCCCACCAGGCGGAGTGGTGGAACCACGGCCAGGAGCAGGCGGAGAGCAGTTGGAGTGGATAGCAGTGTGGCTCCCTGTGTACCTCACCATGCCTTCTCTCCCTTCCCCCCGGGTGTTTTTGAGACGTCTCAAAAGCACCGTGAAAGAAGAGTGTTTTTGAGACTAAAAAACACTATTCTTTCACGTGGTTGGAGTGGATAGCAGTGTGGCTCCCTGTGTACCTCACAATGCCTTCTCTCCCTCCCCCCCAACCCCTACCTCTCTGTCTCTCCCTTCGCCCCCCAGGCGGAGTGGCAGAAGCACGCTCAGGAGCAGGCAGAGGAGCGCCTGGAACGGATAGCCGTGGCCAAGTATGGCGTGAACGGGGAGGGGCAGAGCAACGCCGCCGCCGCTGCTGCTGGTAGTGGGCAGGGAGAAGCAGGAGAAGCAGGAGCATCAGGAGCAGCAGGAGCAGCGGCAGGGGTGGCTGTGATCGACCCGCACACTCTGAAAGAACGCACGGATATCACGAAAGCAGATCTGCTAGACGAGTTGGGATCCGAGGTGGATGATACGACCATTGTCGCCGACGTGCTTGTAATGGAGGGCACTGTAACGAGTACTATCCCCGCGGAGCAGGCAGGGGAGGGGAGCGAGTTCTTTGGGCCGCTGGCAGTGGCGGGGGAGACGGAGTCGCTGAGTCAGCAGGCGGAGCTGTTCGATTGGGACATGGTGGTCTCGGCTGTGCTCTCCGCCTTCCAAGCCCTCGCAGTGTTTTCTCAGGTGGGTAAGACAGCAATCATTGGGGTGGGATGGCAGTGGCAGGGGAAGGGAGAGAGTAAGTTGGGCTGCTGGCTAGCAGTGGTTGGGTTGGGGCGACGGAATCACTGACCCAACAGGCGGAGCTGTTCGATTGGGACATGGTGGTCTTTTCTGTGCTCTCTGCCTTCCAAGCTCTTGCAGAGTTTGCGCAGGTTAGTAAAACAGTGATCAAAGGGTTGGAATAACAATTAAGGGATTAGACAGAACAACTGAGCCAACAGGCGAGGCTGTTCGATTGGGACATGGTAGTCTCTGCTATGCTCTCCACCTTCCAAGCGCCCTCTCCTTCCTCTCCTACCCCGTCTCCTTCGAAGGTCGTCACATGGGCGAAATGGCTTTTCAACTAGCGCATGTTTTCTTAAGACCACACCTCCCATACGAGCACGTGTTCATTACACAGCCCCAGTTTGCTTGAGCAGCTGAAGAATTTCTGTACGAAGAACCACCTTTGTTCAAATTTTCTTTAGCTGTTCGAGCAAACTGGGGCTGTGTGATAAATACGTGCTCGTATGGGAGGCGTCATCTTAAGAAGACATGAGTCAGTTCACTCTCTCAAAATCATCGTCTTCACTTCCATTTGGCTGCAAGACCTCCGCTCTCCTTCCTCTCCCTCCACCCCACTCCCCAACCCCTTGCACCCGTTCTAGTCATTCCCTTTATCATCCTTCCACTACCTCACTCCCAAACCCTCTTTTCCCCTTTCTGTCTCACTCCCAACCCCCCCATCCCAGGTGCTCCACGTGCGTTCCCACCCCCACGCCCACTTCACCTCGCTCACAATGGTCGCCACGCAGATCATCGTCTTCTCCTCTTTCTGGCTACGAGACCTCCACTACCCGCTCTCCTTCCTCTCCTCAGACGTCCTCTCCTACCTCCTCACCCCCTCTCTTTCCCATGACTCTCATGTCTGCTGCCCGCCTCTCTGTCTTCCCCTTCCCCGCCCCCTACAACCCATCCACCATGCCAGGTGCTACATGTCCATTCCCACCCCCACGCCCACTTCACCTCGCTCACAATGATCGCCACTCAAATCATCGTCTTCGCATCCTTCTGGCTGCGGGACCTCTACTACCCGCTCTCCTTCCTCTCCTCAGACGTCCTCTCCTACCTCCTCACGCAGCTCGCCACGCTCCCCCACCTGCTCTCAGGCGTGCTCTCTGTCACCCCTCCACTACATCACTCCCAACCCCCTTCTGTCTGTCTCCCACCCTCTTCTGCTTCCACTCCCCTCACCCCTCCACCCCAGGTGCTCCACGTGCGCTCCCACCCCCACGCGCACTTCACTTCCCTCACAATGATCGCAACTCAAATCATCGTCTTCGCGTCCTTCTGGCTGCGGGACCTCTACTACCCGCTCTCCTTCCTCTCCTCAGACGTCCTCTCCTACCTCTTAACCCAACTCGCCACCCTCCCCCACGCCATCGAGTTCCTCACCCTCCTCCTCTACGTCCTCCTCTTTATCGCCGTAGAAAGGAAGAGGAAACGGGCCGCAGCAGCGTACGCAGCAGCAGCTAGTGGACTCCCTGTTAGCCCATCCTCCTCCGCTGCTATTTACGCCTCTCGGCCTGCCTTCTCGCCCTCCTCCCCCTCCTCCGCCTCCTCTCGCTCCCCTTCTTCCTCCTCCACCGCCTTTTCCATCTCCTCCGGTTCCACTCATACTGGCAGAAACGCTCCCAAAAGCACTCCACCTAGAATCACCGCTCCTCCGGGAGAATCCTTCGGAACCCACACCACCACCCAGCACCACTCACAACCCCACCAGCAGCAGCAGCAGGTGCAGTTGCTACCTCCCCCGAGTGACGCCTACGTGGCTCTGACGATCATGGGCATGGTGGGGGTGGGAGGCGGCATTCTCTACGTGTGGGACGCTACAGACGTGCTGCTACAGCTGGCCCACTTCCTCTTCCTGCTCCCCCAGTCCATCGCCTTTGCCATCTGGCAACCACCACTCGCTGCCTGCAAAGGCATCTCCCTCAAGTTCGCCATTGGCAACTGGGCCGCTCAGGTGTGATTCTGAACGCCTATTGCTGTCCTCATAAATGGGTCTCTCAGTTACGCCTGGTGCTCTGCTCAGGTGAGCTTTCAGTCTCTACCTGTGGGACTGCAGCTGCCCACTTCCTCTTGCATTCTCTACGTGTGGGGCGCTACAGACGTGCTGCTACAGCTCGCCCACTTCCTCTTCCTCCTGTCGCAGTCCATTGCATTCGCCATCTGGCAACCACCACTCGCTGCCTGCAAAGGCGTCTCTCTCAAGTTTGCCATTGGCAACTGGGCCGCACAGGTAAGCCTTGCTAGGCCTCAACTACTAAATCTAGTCCCTCCTGCTCGTTTCCCCTTCCCCCCCGCACATGCCACTCTTTCTCCTTTGTCCTCCAGTCCGTCTGCCTTGTCTTCGACTGCTGGCGGCCCCGGTTGCTGGGATACAATGCACACTTCCCCTTCCCTCACAACTATCAACTCTGGTTTCACCTTCTGCTCTACTCTCCTCTCCCACCCACCTCACCCTCCGTTCTTTTTCCCCTGCAGTCCATCTGGCTTGTCTTTGACTGCTGGCGCCCCCGACTGCTGGGATACGACGCGCTCTTCCCCTTCCCCCACGCCTACTTCTGGCCCTTCTTCATCGTCATGACGTGGCATCTAGCTGTCTTCCTCACACAGTGGAAGTTCGGTCCATTGTGTGTGACAAACTCTTCGTTACATGGTTACACGGCTGTCCCGTCATCTACCGCAGATGAGGATAGGGCAGGCAACGGAGCAGTGTAACTACCTTCCATGTTATCTTAGCTAGGTGTGGTACGGTAGTTCCCCAGTCCAGCCAAAGGATTAATACAAAGGCTTATTTGAATACAAGGGGTAAGGCAATATCAGGCCTTTTTGTTTATGTTTAGGGTTGACACAAAAACGAATATTTTATGAGTTGATCATGATTGTTAGCTCGTTCATCAACACTTGATTAGTGAGAATGTTGCCCAAAAGGGCTCTGTACTGAATAAGAGAGCATGGTTGTTAATAAGTGATAGGTCATCTGATAGAGGAGAAATTTATCATAGCGAGTACAATGCCCCTCTCCTTGGTTGGAAGGTCCAAACCACGCCATTGTGTGCAATCATTTCGCGCTTCGCAGTTGACGAATCGGAGCGCTGACGCAATTGACAGCGCTGATACGAGAACATCCCAGGTCCAAGTCGTATTCACTTTTTATTGGACGACGTATTCTCTTCCACCGATTTGGGCTTCTTAGAGCAGGTTATTCATCCACGTGGCTGCAGGATAGATTCTTAGAGGATGCTGAGATGACATGGCACAGATTCTTTCGTGACCCTTAACTGCCGTTTCGTAAGTGTAAGACCGTCGGGACATTGTCGGCTATTGCTTAGGGGTTCTCACTCAATTCTCTGAAAACTGTCTGAACACGATTACACGGTTCGAAGTTCCGAAACTCAAGTTTTCAAAGTTTCGACTTTTCTGCACTGAAATTTGAAAATGACCCTCCTTTCGCCCTTCGGAATACCCCTCGAGTTGAGTCAGCAGCAGGGTAGCAACACTGGAGAAGCACAGCAGCGAGCAACACCAGTACCATTGCTCCACCCCCAGTGAGCGATCCTTTCGAGGCTGTCTTTCCCCTGGAATACGTATCATCGTAAACCTCATTTCCAGCACTAGTTTCGCTGCGATACGTTCATTCTCGCGGCTCGTTACCCTTTCATCCTACAGGCAGTAACTCACTCCCTCGCCGTGCTCCAATCCACTTCGGGAGAAGCAGAATAAAACCATTATGGCTTCTCATCTTGCTCCCCTCCCACGGAATCTTTTCGCGCGCGAGCAAGCCACAGCCACGGCAATTCCACTCAATTCCTCTCACAGCATTGTCACCCTCCAGAGACGGTTAGCCTGCAGCAGCAAACGCTCAATCCCCCGTCGGTTCCCCTCATCTCGAGCTACAGCCGCTAGAGCTACAGCCGTCAGCGATGCGCCTTCACGGGTCGCGGATTCGGGGTCGAGCGGGCTGGACCCGGAGCTCGCCAAGTCGCCGTTCAAAGTGATTGTAGCGGGGGCGGGAATCGGCGGTCTGGTGTTCGCTCTGTCGTGCAAGAACCGTGGTATTGACGTGGAGGTAATTGACCAGAGTCTTGGGATTTCTATGCTCCTACGAAAGTCCGTGTGCTCTGTGTGAGGCAGGTATTGGTTACCGAAGCATGCAGCTTGTTCTATCGCTTGTCTTCGGAAGTATTGTTTCCTTATCTCAACAGTTCCTTTCCACGTTGCCTCTTCCCCCTCCCCTTTTCCCCTCCTTCCTTTCTTTCCCCCTCCTTCCTTTCTTTCCCCCCCTCCCCCCCCCCCCCCACCTCCCCCCCCCCCAACCACTCCCCCGCCCCGACCCCCTTTCTGGCTGCGGACCCATCAGGTCTTCGAGCGGGATCTCACCGCGATTCGCGGCGAGGGGCAGTACCGCGGGCCGATTCAAGAGCAACGCGCTGGCGGCGCTGGAGGCGGTGGACCTGCGCGTGGCGGAGGAGGTGATGGCGGCGGGGTGCATCACGGGCGACCGCATCAACGGGCTCTGCGACGGGCTCACCGGCGAATGGTGCGTGTGGTAGTCGCTGTACCCGTTAAAGCATCCCTCGATAAAGGTGGGATGAGGAATTATGGAGTGACGATAAAAAAGCTGCACGAAGCTAGGTAGTTCTAGTGCACGACAGCATCCGTCATCCGCTTGCCGCGGCACTGACGGGGGCTGGCGGGGTTGGCGGGGACGCTGGAGGCGGTAGACCTGCGCGTGGCGGCGGGGTGCATCACGGGCGACCGCATCAACGGGCTCTGCGACGGGCTCACCGGGGAATGGTGCGTGGTGACAGGCGCTGTCCCCGTTAGAGCATGCCTCGATAATGGTCAGAATGACAAAGGAATAAGCTCGGTGTAGGGGAAAAGGGGCGGGGGGTGCATCAACGGGCTGTGCGACGGGCTGTGCGACGGGCTATGCGACGGGCTCACCAGCGAATGGTGTGTGCGGGAGTCCTAAAACATAAAGCACAAACGGAAAAAAAGGGCTCTGATCAACAGTGAATAAAAGAACGCATCACCACCATGTGGTTTCCTCTCATCTCCCTGTAATCCCGTGCAAACCCATCAGGTACGTGAAGTTCGACACGTTCACGCCAGCGGCGGAGGGCGGGTTACCAGTGACGCGCGTGATCACGCCAGCCTATGACGGCAGGTTACCAGTAAACCCCAAGCATCATAACACACACTCCCTTCCCCTTGTAACTCCCTGCTAAATTCCCATGTAATCCCATCAGGTACGTCAAGTTCGACACGTTCACGCCAGCGGCGGAGGGCGGGTTACCAGTGACGCGCGTGATCAGCCGCATGACTCTCCAGCAGATCCTCGTGGACGCCGTTGGGGAGGACATCATCAGGAACGGGTTGACCGTCGTTGACTTCGAAGACCAGGGCAAGCAGGTGCGTTGAATTTCCACCTGCAGTCGTCTACCTTCCCTCCCACACCCTCTCCTTCCCACACCTTCCCTTACCCACACCCTCTCCTCCTCACACCCTCCGTTCTCCACACCCTCTCTGTCTTTACCCGCCGCTCCCCTCCTGTTTCATCTGCCACGTTCTCGTGTAAACGCATGCATACAACGACGTCTTTCTGCACCCTCCACTCCTCTCCACACCCTCTCCACTCCTCAACACACCCTCTCCACTCTTCCCCTCAACCACTCCTCCCCACACCCACTCCTCCCCACACCCCTCCTCACTCTCCCCTCCTCACACCCTCTCCTCCCCACACCCTCCCCTTCTGCCCACCCCGTCCTCCCCCCTCTCTCTCCCTCGACCAGGTGGCGATGAAGCTGAGCGACGGCAGCACGGTGTATGGCGACATGCTCGTGGGAACTAAAGCATCTTCCCCTGCCTTACACAGCTCTCTCCCCTTCCCTCGCCTCCTCTCTCCTCCCCTCCCCCTTCCCCCCTCTCTCCCACCACCAGGTAGCCGTGAAGCTGAGTGACGGCAGCACAGTGTATGGCGACATGCTGGTTGGTGCTGACGGCATTCGCTCCAAGGTGCGTGCATGCGCCCATGATTCAGACTTGCGCGTGCACGGTGCGTGTGTGCGTTCATGCGTGCGCGTGCGCTGTCGTGAGGCATGCCGAGTGTGTGAGTGAGGCAGGGAAAGGCAAGTAGGTCTCGAGCTGATGTGCTGGGAGCTCCCAAGGCTTAGTGGTCCAAGACGAGACGCGCAGGGTTGTGAGGAGGGGAGGTTATGTCTACAGTAGGTAGGAAAGTCTGAGCTGACTCAATCAGTGAAACGGGGTTGTGGGGGGAATGGAACGTGACAGGATCACTTGCAGTCACCTCGTAAGTCTCTTCCGCTCTCTTGCATTCTTGCTGCTTGTTGTCCTTGGTTCATGGGTGGATGGGTGCTCTGCAGGTGCGGGATGTACTGCTGGGAGTGACAGAGCCCACCTATTCGGACTACACGTGCTACACGGGCATATGTGATTTCGTGCCTCATGACATTGAGACCGTGGGGTGAGTGAGTGCTGTGCTAAATGTTGTTGGAGTTTGTTGGATGGCTGTTGCTTTTGAGTCGACTCAAATAGCGGAGTTTGTTGGATCGCTGTTGATTGAGTCTGTTTGTCCTTCCAAGCCCACCTATTCCGACTACACGTGCTACACGGGCATCTGTGACTTCGTGCTGCACGACATTGAGACCGTGGGGTGAGTCCCCGCCTCCTTCCCACCCCATTCCCGCCCCATTCCCGCCCCATTCCCGCCCCTCTCCTCTTCCCCTCTCTCTTCGCCCGCTCCTGTTTTCCACATCTCCATCTACCCAACCCCCTGTGCCGGTAACCGCGTCTTTCTGGGGTACCGGCAGCACTCATTCATCCCTACCCCCCTCCTCTTTCCCCACTCTCTTACCAACCGCCAGGTACCGCGTGTTCCTGGGGCTACTTTGTGAGCAGCGACTCGCTCATTCCTAACACCCTTCTCTTTCCCCCTCTCCCCCCCCCCCCCCCCCCCCCCCCCCACCCTGTCTCCCCCAACCGCCAGGTACCGTGTGTTTCTGGGCCACAGGCAGTACTTTGTGAGCAGCGACTCACTCGTCCCTAACCCTCTCCCCTCTTCCTCCCACCCCGCCTCCTCGTCCTCGTCCCCCATCCTCCCCTCCCACTGCCAGCTACCGTGTGTTTCTGGGCCACAGGCAGTACTTTGTGAGCAGCGACGTGGGGTTTGGCAAGATGCAGTGGTACGCCTTTTACAACGAGCCTGCTGGCGGCTCTGACCCCCCTGGCTGTGAGTGCTACCAGGGCCCCCTTGCTACATGCCAGGCACACATGCTCCCACGGACATACTTGCTGGTCAATAGCATGTGGGGTTTGGCAAGATGCAGTGGTACGCCTTCTACAACGAGCCTGCTGGCGGCTCCGACCCCCCCGGCTGTGAGTCACTCTTTCAGAGTTCTCATTAGATGCAATGGTAGTTGGATTACTATACGAGGTTCTTCCTTAGATGCAGTGGTGAGCTTTCTACAACGAGCCTGCTGGCGGCTCCGACCCCCCCGGCTGTAAGTGCTTGCTGCACACATGTGCGACAGGTAGAGTGGGCGATGAGAGGCTATGTGGGCAAGATGCAGTGGTACGCCTTTTACAATGAGCCTGCTGGTGGCTCCGACCCTCCTGGCTGTGAGTGCTACCAGCCCCCCTTGCTACATGCCGGGCACACATGCTCCCACCCACTCGCATACTTGCTGGTCTGCTTCACATACACAGGCGCGCAGTGCAGATGCAGTGGTAGTTAAATCTCTGAGCGAGGATTTTTTTTCCTAGATGCAGTGTCCCCCTTTGTCTCCCTCTCCCCTTCTCCCCGCCGCCTCTCCCTCTCCCCCCGTCCCCCTCCCCCTGCTCCACCGCCCCAGGTCGCAAGCAGCGGCTGATGAAGCTGTTTGGCAACTGGGCGGACGGGGTGGTGGATCTCATTCAAGCCACGCCCGAGGAGGACGTGCTCAGGCGCGACATCTACGACCGTATCCCCATCCTGCAGTGGAGCAAGGGGCGCGTCACTCTCATGGGTGATGCTGCTCATGCCATGCAGCCGAATATGGGTCAGGGCGGGTGCATGGCCATCGAGGTGAGCTGCTTTCTTTCTCCAGACCACATGGTCTCACGTGGCAAGGTGCATGGCGGTTGAGGTGAGAGAGCGTGCGGTTTGAGCTGGTTCACAGGAGTGGCACGGCATCAAGAGGCGAGACATCTACGACCGTATCCCCATCCTGCAGTGGAGCAAGGGGCGGGTGACCCTCATGGGTGATGCTGCTCACGCCATGCAACCGAATATGGGGCAGGGCGGGTGCATGGCCATCGAGGTGAGCTGCTTTCTCCAGACCACTTTTGAGGATTCCCTAAAGTGATTTCAATATGGCTGGGTGCATGGCAATTGAGGTGAGAGAGCATGTGGTTCGCGCTGGTTCACAGTAGTCGCCTTAAGAGGCGAGAAATCTACGACCGCATCCCCATCCTGCAGTGGAGCAAGGGGCGCGTGACGCTCATGGGTGATGCTGCTCATGCCATGCAACCGAATATGGGGCAGGGCGGGTGCATGGCCATTGAGGTGAGCGAGAGTGTGCTGAGTTGACTTACAGAAGTGGGCTCTAGAGGCGCGACATCTACGACCGTATCCCCATCCTGCAGTGGAGCAAGGGGCGGGTCACGCTCATGGGCGATGCGGCACATGCCATGCAGCCCAACATGGGGCAGGGCGGGTGCATGGCCATCGAGGTAAGATGCATTTTCCAGGCGTTAAAATCGTGCCGTGGGAAAGTGTGTTGATTGTTGCTTCACCCCTTCTCCCCCGGGAGGGGGATTCTTGTAAGTGAAAGTGTGTCATTCTGTTGCCTCACTTAATCCTTCCTTTGCTCACTCCCCCCCTTCTCCCCCAGGACGGTTTTCAACTGGCCCTGGACCTAGAGAAGGCAGTGGAAGGGGCGAAGAAAAAGACAGCCTTCTTCTGTCCTCACTCACTCCCCCACTCACTCCCTCTTCTGCCCTCCCATCCGTCACCCATATTTCCCCCCAGGACGGCTTTCAACTGGCCCTTGATCTTGAGAAGGCAGTGGAAGGGGCAAAGAAGAAAGTCAGCAGCAAGGGAGGGCAGGTGCGGCAGCACATGGATGTGGCGGGCGTGGTGCAGCAGTACGAGGCGGAGCACTCCCTCACTCTCTTGCTCCTCACTCATTCCATCCCTCCTTCCCAGGACGGCTTTCAACTCGCACTCGACCTAGAGAAGGCAGTGGAAGGCGCGAAGAAGAAAGTGAGCAGCAAGGGAGGGCAGGTGCGGCAGCACATGGACGTGGCGGGCGTGGTGCAGCAGTACGAGGCGGAGAGGCGGCTCAGAGTGGGGGCCGTGCATGGCATGGCGCGCACGGCGGCTATTATGGCCTCCACTTACAGGGCTTACCTGGGAGAGGGCTTTGCTCCGCTCTCGGTGAGTCAGTGTGTGTGTGTGCTCAATGGGGTAGCGGAATGGGCGGTTGGGGTAGGACCTAGACTTAGAGGGTGCGAGTGGGGGCGGTGCATGGCATGGCGCACACCGCTGCCATCATGGCCTCTACCTACGGGGCTTACCTGGGGGAGGGCTTTGCTCCACTCTCGGTGAGTATATTTCCATGTGTGTGTGTGAATCAGCGAGTGAGTCACTTCCTTTCCCCCTCCAATCCTTGTTTTTTTTCCCCACCTGCTAGTGAACTGGTACATTCCGCATTGACTGCACATTCCAAGTTAACGTGAGATCCGGACATGGCTCAGTGAGCTGCGTGCGTGCAGTAGGCTGAAGTCGATTTTTAAGTCGACTTAAAAATCGACTGGTACATTCCACATTGACTGCACGTTCCAAGTTAACCGTCCCCCCTTTTTCCCTCCACCCCCTTCCCCCTCTCCCCCCCTCCTTTCTCCCCTCACCCCCCAGTGGCTGGTGAACTGGCGCATCCCCCATTGGGGCAAGATGGGCGGGCTGGTGGTGATGAAGCTGTTCGGCAGTGTATCACCCACTGCCTCTGCCTCACTGCCTACCGTTCACCCTCCTCGCTTCCACCTCTCCCTTTCTCCTCCCCCTCTCCCCCCCCAGTGGCTGGTGAACTGGCGCATTCCCCATTGGGGCAAGATGGGCGGGCAGGTGGTGATGAAGCTGTTCATGCCCGCCATGCTCAAATGGGTGCTCACAGGCAACACGTGAGTGGCGGAGTGCGGTGGAGTGTGGTGGGGTGGGGTGCGGTGGGAGGTGGGGTGGGGTGGGGTGGGGTGGGGTGGGGATGAGTGTGGGTGGTCAAGTCAACAGGTGTTGATGAAGCTGTTCGTGCCCTCCATGCTGCCAGTCTTGCTTAAAGGGATGCTCAGAGACATTGACGGTTCAGATCACGTGTATGAAGTGAAGCTTTGAGACGACTCAGAACTGGTTCAGATCAATTCTCATCCTCCTCTTCTCGAGCGTTCCTTATTCTCCTCATCATCCCGCTCCCTATCCTTCATCACTCCTCCACTGCTCCCCTTTCTACTCCCCTCTCCCTCTCCACCCCTCCATCTCATCCCTCCATCTCTGTTCTCCACTCGCTCGCCGTCTCCGCCCCTCCCTCTCTCCCCTACAGGTTCGCATTGGAGGGCCGCGCACCCTACTGCCGAATCACAGACAGGGTGAGCAATGGGAACGAGTGGGAACTAGTGGGAACCAGTGGGGAGGGGTATGGGGGAATTGTAAGGGGACACGTAGGCTTGTACCCTTCTGCAGAATCGCAGACAGGGTGAGCAATGGGAACGAGTGGGGATTAGTCTGGTAAACGCATGTGGGTATTTCAAGGAAACGCGTAGGGGCTTTTTAAGGAAGGGACATGGACACTTGTTGTAATTAGGCCGAGAATCAGTTGGCTCGTTCATTTGGTTCCCCGAGTGTTTCCTCCCCTCACCCCTTCACCGCCAGGCGGATTCGAATCTAGCCAAGTGGATGGAGGATGACGATGCATTGGAGCGAGCAACCGATGCCAAGTGGTTCCTGCTGCCTGCTGCTGACCGCATGCCCCTCACCGGCACTCTCACTGACTCTGGTCGCCCCATCCTGCCTCTCGCCATTGCCACGGCCCCTGAAGGCGCGCCCCCTACCACCATCACATCTGCTATCACCATCGTCGGGTGAGAGTCCTCTTCTTGTATCTGCTTGCCCTGTTCCTCTCTTCTTGCATCCCAATCTCTGGGTTCCCTGAGGAACCCTTTTCCTGTCTCTGAGTCTACCCATCCTGCGTCTGAACGCATGCCCCTCACCGGCACTCTCACCGACTCTGGTCGCCCCATCCTGCCTCTCGCCATCGCTACCACCCCTGAAGGCGCCCCTGCCACAACTATTACATCTGCTATGACCATTGTTGGGTGAGAATCATCATGTAAGGCTTGTTACTCTCAGTGGACCCTGGTGGTTCCCGCTGCCTGCTGCTGAACGCATGCCCCTCACCGACACTCTCACTGACTCTGGTCGTCCCATCCTGCCTCTCGCCATTGCCACCACCCCTGAAGGCGGACGTTCCACCACCATCACCTCTGCCACCCACTTCTTGTAGAAATATATATGTCACCATCGTTCAGTGATATTCCGCTGGTGGACAGAACTGAAGGCTTCCAGAGATTTTTCAGAACTGTTAATATGATTCGCTAACTCCTTTCCGCCTCCCCTCCCTTTTTCTCCCTTCTCCTCCCATCCCACACCTCTCTCAGCAACTCTGCAGAGTGTGCACCCACCAGCAACACAGCATCACTCACCTCTTGTTTCTCTTCCCTCCTGCGCTCTCCACCCGTTCCCTCCCTCACACTCTTTCCCTGCAGCACTGCAGAGTGTGCACCTGCCAGTGGCACAGCAGCGGTCATTTCACTGCCTGGGGTATGTCCCCCTCATGCCAGTTACACACTTATATTCATGCTCGACGCTCACATGCACACACACACACATACACACACACACACACACACACACGCACACACACACACACGCACACACACACGCACACACACACGCACACACACACGCACACACACGCACACACACACACACACACACACACACACACACACACACACTCTTCATCTCAACGTTCTTTCTGCCTGTGCCGTCTCTTCTACAGATCAAGCACACTGGCACTAACACCAGCCCTCTTGCACCTGTTTTATGCTGTTAAGTTTCAAAAGTGGATGCGCAAGCACTAGCACTAGCATTTCGTGTCACACTTCTCAATGAGGTCACATTCTCACGCTTTCTTTACCTTCCGTTTATGCATTTGACGCTTCATTGCATGGGCATTTCATGGCTCGGTTAAATGGCATGACATGGCATGGCACGACATGGCACGACATGGCACGACATGGCATGGCATGGTAATGGCAGGTGGAGGAGAAGCATTGCCGCATTGAGAGTCGCAGTGACCACACCTTCTATGCCACGGACCTCAGCCAGTCCCAGGGCACCTGGCTCGTCAGGTCAGTTGCTTTCCTGCGCTTTCCTACTCCTTACCAGCTACCGATGCTGATCACCAAAGATAATCACACCTGTTGCGCCCTCTCTTCCCCCTTCCCCCTGCAGAGTGGATGGAGCGCGGTCTAAGCTCACTCCAGGGTCCCCTGAACGCCTGCACCCTGGTGACTCCCTCCAGTTTGGACCCAACGCCGAGGTCAGTTCTCCATCACTGTTGAACCCACCTTATCTCCTTTACTTTTACCCACCTTTTCTTTATTTGTGTATGCAATCTTCGTGGTGTTGGGTGTAGTTCTGTATAGCTTCCTCTGACCTCTGTGCATGTGCCTTGTGCATGTGTGATGTGATGTGACTCGCTGCAAGCAGGCTCTCTTCCGTATCAAACTGAGGAAGGCGCAGGACGGTGGCAAGGCCAAGGACGTGCTGGCAGCTGCGACTGCTTGAATGGAAACACGAGCACGTAAAAAAACAGATGCAGTGTGAACAAGACTCCATCTGCTACCGTATGTTGATTGGTAGTTCTTTTGTACAGTGCTGCACTCTATGTGAGCATCAGTGCATAGATCACTGCTGTTGATGCATCTGTATTGATCCTTATGCTTGTTTGATGGAACACAATGGTGGTTATGTTATTCATTCAGAGTGTCTCTCAACCCCTCTCATGCCTGAAACTTCCATAACTAGCATAGCTACTACTACCGTAATACGCAAGGTACATTCCCTGCACACAGGTAGAAATTTACAGAGCAACTGTACGCTCCTGTAGTAAGCCAGTGCCACCCTAACCAATTAGGCATGCAACTTATCACCATTGACCTGCACGCTCATCCCCTCCAGTTTGAGCTGTGCTGTACATAGCCCTCGGGACCTTTATGCAAGGTATTACAGGGAAGGTGGGTAAATCGTCGTGACCTGGTTTACCTGTTAGGTATACGTACCAGAGCTTATTGAACACAGCAAACAAACCAATAGTTATCAAAACTGGTGCACCGTTAATTTACAGTTTCACATCAACAAAAGAGTATCTAAACCTATGGACGGAGGACTCATCGCCGGCCGCTGGCTTCCTCAGCAGCCAGGTCGAACATCCGCTCCAAGGCATACATGTTCTCCAACGTCTCACTCACTGTCCTCGCGTCACTGCCATCACTCCTGAGGTGGGTCATGGGTCCATGGAGAATCTTGTTCACAATACCCTTGCTCAGCTCCTCAATCAGCTTCTTCTGCTTCTTGGTCGGCTCCTCGCCCATCTTCGCCAAAATTCTGTCCAGCTCAGCCTGTCGAATTCCCTCAATTTTCTGTCGGAGCTTCTTGATGGTCGGAACAGTCTCCAGGGAATCCCTCCACGCGTCGAAGGCCTGAAGCTCCTCCTCAATGATAGCCTGAGCTTCCAGAGCCTTCTTTCTCCGCTCCTCCTTGTTGGCTGCAACCACCTCCTTGAGGTCATCAACGTTGTAAACTCTGGTCTGCTGAACGTTTGCCACGCAGGAACCAACATTGCGAGGGACGGAGATATCGATGAAGTGCCTGACGCCGTCAGTGAGATCGCCAGCAGGAGGAAGATCCTGGACATTGGACTGGTCGAAGAGAAGAGTCTCCGAAGCTGTGCTGGTGAAGACCACCTCAGCCTCAGCCGCTGCTTGCATCATCTCAGGAAGAGGCCTGTAGAGAAGCGTGGCGTCGGGAAATTCAGACTGCAGCTGCTCTACGCTGCCTAGGGACCTGTTCACAACGGTCATGGTGTTGCAACCCTTGGAGAGCAGATGCTTCACCAGGAGACGAGACATCTTTCCAGCGCCAACGATCATGACGCGAGCTTCCTTCAGGCCAGCTTCCGGGAGCTTCATCGCGGCGAGCTCAACGGCAGCAGAGCTGACGGACACAGCACCCGACGCGATGCTGGTCTCGGTACGCACACGCTTGCCAGCCTCGATCGCCTGCTTGAAGAGGCCGTTGAGATTGCGTCCGAAGCCCTCGGCACCCTGGCCAACCTTGAAGACCTGCTTTACCTGCGCGAGGATCTGACCCTCCCCGAGCACCAGAGAGTCAAGGCCGGAAGAGACGCGAAGCAGGTGCTGCGTGGCGTCCCTCTGACGGAGCAGGAAGAGATGCGGGCGGAGCTCCTCGACGGGAACACCGCTCGACTGAAGGTAGGTATAGGGGAAGATAAAAAAGACGGGGACTGAATGGACGGAACACAATATCGGAAAATCAAGTAGACGCGTGGTGATCAGGTTATACATCATGAATTGCGAAGCAGAAATGGCTTACCTTTGACATCCACTCGGTAACCTCACGAATTCCCCTGTGCCAGGAAAGGGCCACGACGTAGATTTCCATGCGGTTGCATGTGCTCAGAACACCGGCCTCCTCAATGTGGGGGTACTCGCAGAGCTCTGTGATGGCGCGTGGCCACTCGGCTTCAGGGACGGCGAGCTTCTCACGCATCGAGACGGGAGCGGTGTGGACGCTCAGACCGACGACAATGATGCTGCTCTTCTCGCTCGTGTACCCTGTAGCGCAAAAGTGTAGGGAGAAACATATGTGTGATTGTCAAAAGGTGTTCATCCTTTCGTTGTTGTCACGGTTTATTCTCAGGAAGGAAAAACTGACTTTGAGCGAACGTAACAATTAAACACGTACTGTTTGTGTTTGCGACCCTCAATTGCTCGAGAGCGGCAGCGCTGCTAGCTCGGAGCTTGTGGCTCCTAGGAGGGCCAGATGACAGGGAAGCTGAGACAGGAGCGACAGTCTTCGCGACAGGAACGGCCTGACGAGGAGCGACATTGAGCTTCTCCCCAAGCAATGAGCTTTCCTTGAGGTGAACCTGCTCCTTGGCCTTGAAGGCCTCCACACCTTCCGCGCGGGGAAGGGTGGAAATCCCACGAGCAGCAACATAGCTGACGGAAGCCATGTCGGGCTTGTCGGGACAAACCAGTCAGAAAGGGAGACTCGACTGGGAAGGATCGAAAAGTCGATCAGCTCGTGCAAGCTAACCTCCAAAGGTTGGCTTTCCTCGAGCAAGGACGACACGAGGAGACCTCGCCAAGGAGTTATGGCTGCCGTGAGATAAAGATCAGAGAGTGTGGCAGCCAGATGTCATACAGATGACGGGGCAGAGCTTCCTAGGCAAACTGGGGCCTTGGGAGAACCAGGTGCAGCAGCAGCCTCCCCAGTTGCACGGGGAGCAGCCATGAGAGAGGATTCTCCTGGCTAGGGCTGCCTGGCTCGGCTCGCTTCTCCAGGCAAGGGGGCATCGTGTTCGACGGATTCTGTCGCCAATAACTGTGGGGTCATGGAAGTGCGAATCTGATTTCCCATTCGCTGTCGGGATCACCTAGGTGAGCCACGTCGGATACAGTGACTCCGAAGGCGACCACGTCATTGGACCGCTGTAGGTAAGGTTGATGAGCCCCCTGGGTGACTCCACGACACCCAGCACTTTCGGGATGCTTTGCCCCACCAAAGCTTCAGGCTAGGAATTTCGAAAAGCTTCAGCCTCGTAATGCAGTCACCAAGCTAACCTAACCTGAGCTGGTTTCGTCGACGCTTCTCGCACAGCTTCTGGAATGTCTACGTGTTACAAGGTGCTGCTGTTGGCAATTGAGAATGTACTGTCTACCTTATTATACTCTCTCTTTTTCTCCTCACTTTCCGTGCCCACCAATAACCTTGCGTAGTTTTGTTACATTGTAATTTATAGCTGATTATCTGTGCTGTAGAGGATTTTCAGAAAGAGAATTATGTTATGGACCCCGGGCCTACGTTCTATGTACTTTATGTACGTGCGTATTAGGGGGGGGCGGGGGGGGGGGGGGGGGGGGGGGCGCACTATCTGGGTGAATATGGTAAACGAGTGAACCAAGCAACAGGCTCCAAAACAGCGATGTATGAAGTACACTGTACAAATATACACCTACCATACAAAACATCAAGCTCCATTTTCGGAATTCTACTATACAATGAAATTAGTCTCCAGGTGATCCATGCACTTACGAAACTCGACCAATCGTTGCTGTGCATATGACATATAGTCAAACTCTGCATCTGATACTGCAGCCTGCACACGTTAAGGCGTAAACAATAAGAAAACACCACCATAAACACCATAAGCTCGAGTAAACTCGAGTATGGAACCACCATAACAGATGCCCCCTGGAAAATAAGTGATATAAAGCAACATACGCAAATCACTTACTGAAATAATGCCCCACAGGAACCAATGTAGATGGCATACTGGAAGAAAAACATCCACCGCTTGCACTAGCTCCTCAGCATCATCGACACAAAGGCTGCTTGTAAGGGGGACACCGCTTCGACTGGTGCTGCGTTCACTGACGCTCGAACATGCATCGGCAGGAGCGGTTGGCTTGGCATCAAGGTAGCAATCGATGAACCATTGTTGCTCATCCTCAGCTGAAAGAGAAGACGTTGCGGGGCAAAATCCCAGAGAATAAAGGGGGTGGGGAGGTGAGGTTGGAAGGATGGAAGGGACCAGATGGAGGGCAGAGTGAATGCGTGGGATGGGAAGACATGTTAGCGGTGGGGTGGTGATACAAATAGTGCGTGCGTGCTGCCTCTAACACTTGAACAAGGGGTGGCTCTTCATCGCACCAGTAACATGGCTTGTGCTGATGCTCACAGAGCAACGCTGACATGATGCATGATATGACAACTTACAAGGACAGCTCACAGAGGCTAGAGACCGAGCTGAACATCTCATTGGGACAGCTTACAGGGGTACTTGGAGTAGTCGAGGAGGTGTGGGAGGGGGCGGTCATAGTCAGCGGCCATTTCACAGAAGTGGTTGGCAATGTCGCACGCCACGTGCGCATAGCCACTGTACTCGTAGTCCTGAGAGGGAGGGAGATGAGATTGGGGGGATATGATGAGAGGGCTGGATGGAACGGCGAGGGAGGGAGGATGCAGAAAGCACAAGTGGTTGGCAATGTCACACGCCAGTGTGCATAGCCACTGTACTCATAGTCCTGAGATGGGAGACGGGGAATGGGGGGATGGAAGGGGATAAACACGAGTATGGGGGAATGCAGAATGCTCACGTGGTTGGCAATGTCACACGCCACGTGCGCATAGCCACTGTACTCGTAGTCCTGAGATGGTGGGAGAGGAAATTGGGGGGACGGGTGGTAAGCGGATGAATCGGACAGGAGCAGGGGAGGGAGGATGCAGAAAGCACAAGTGGTTGGCAATGTCACACGCCAGTGTGCATAGCCACTGTACTCATAGTCCTGGATGGTGGGCGAGGGAGGAGGGGGAGGGGAGGAGGGAGGCGGCACAAGTGGTTGACAAAGTCACACGCCACGTGCGCATAACCACGGGAGAGAACGGGGCAGGAGCGAGTAAGCAAGGCTGAAAGAAACTCAAGTGGTTGCCCTGCCAGCCACTTATCTACAGCGAGCACGTTCCTGTCACTTGCCCAACAACCAACCAGGCATCAGCCAAGCCCCAGCCAAACAGCACAGCGAACCATAGCCAGAAGACAATTCTGCTTACAATGAGTACGATCCGCCCCGTGCCTCTCTCCTGCAGTATGTTCCCGTGTTGCACATCCATGTGACACAGCCCCACCCACCGCCCACTCCCTTCCCCCTCACGCCCCTCCCCCCACCGCCTATGTGCTGCTGCTTCCAGCCTGTGAATCTTCTCCCCCAGCTGCCGTGGGTTTGCCCCATGAACGCCCCAGGGGTGCAGCAGCTGCGCCAGGGACAGCCAGCGGCTGGGGGGGGGGAAGGCACAGAGAAAAGTAAACAGAGGAAAACCAAGGGGGAAGGTGGACTGAGTGTGCTGCTGCTTCCAGCAAGTGAATCTTCTCCCCAAGTTGCCTCGGGTTTGCCCCGTGCACGCCCCAGGGGTGCAATAACTGTGCCAGGGATAGCCAGCGGCTGGGATAAAAGAAAGGGCGGGATTGGGAATGCCCGTACTGCCTGTAGCCTGTAGCTGTTTTCCCCAACTGCTGTGGAAGGGGGGGGGGGGGGGGGGGGGGGCGTGCACGCCCTCCAGGGGTGCAGCGGCTGCGTTCTTGAGTGAACTCAAAAGCGTGCATCCCCTCCAGGGGTGCAGCAGCTGCGCCAGGGACAGCCAGGGCAAGGCAACTAGGGACTCTCTAAGGTGCAGTGCTTGGGGGACGATTAATGAGACGCCTCAAAAGCCCTTGCACGTGCATGACCTATAGCACAAGTGAGTGCACCAGCACTAGTGAGTGCACCGGCACAAGTGGGTGCAACAGCACAAAAGTGGGTGCAACTGCACAAGTGGGTGATGACCTACCGAAGGCGGGACCACAGGCAGGAGGCGACCTCCCCAGGCGTGGTGTCTGGAAGTTGCAGCGAGTGGAAGCGTCGCATGCACCGCGCGATCTGCCGGGATGTCTCCGGTTGCCTCATCTCCTCTGCTGTCAACGGCTGTGGGAGGCCAGGGAGGAGGGTGGGAGGGAGACACGTTGGAAGTGAATCGTTTCTCTAGTCACCTCAATCTGGGTGTCCTGTCTGGAAGCTGCAGCGAGTGGAAGCGCCTCATGCACCGTGCGACCTGCCGGGATGTTCTGGTTGCCTCATCTCCTCCGCTGTCAGCGCCTGGAAGTTGGGGAAGAGTGAGGAGTGAATGGGTCTGGCATGCTTATCTACTGTAAGTTGGTATATAAACATCCAGTGAAGCAAATGCACTGGAAAACAACATGCGTGCTCCTCACAGGCTTTCTAAAAGCTATTACAGCTCACCTGAAGGCAATGTCAAGAAAATTGAAGGAAATATTGAAGGATCACTAGAGGCAGCCCTTAAAAGGTTGAATATATGTCATCCACCCACCTTGGCTTCCAGAAACTGCTCCACCCGGCCAGTGCCGAACGAGGCCAGCATCTTCGGACCCAAGCCTAGTTCAGACATGGCTCGGGTGACTGCCTCCTCGTGCTCCCTCTGGAACAGCATCGTTGTTGCTGGCCCATACAGGCGCACCAACACCCGCTTCTCTCCACAATAGTCTTTCTCCTCCTCCTCCTTTGAATCCTTGGCCTTGCTCCCTCCCGGACCGTTCTTCCTGTTAGGCACCCACACACACTCGTATACCTGTGTGGCGCGCAGCGGACGGTAGATAGCAGCAGGAGAGAAGAGAGTATGAAGCAACGAACAGGCAGGTAAAATCATGCAATGTTGGAATATCGGCATACTCCATCATCAGGCATCTAGGTATCATCCAGTCATCCTCCTCTGCTCAGTGCTCATTCCGTACCTCATGCTTGCATGCACTCACCGTGTTGGTCATTGCTGCACTCATGGGCTTCAGAACTACATCACCTCCCTCCAACCCCTCATCTTCCTCCCCCTCCTCTCCCCCAACTCCACATCCCTCCCCTTCCTTCCTCCCCCCTGCCTCCTTGCTCCTCCATATCCTCCTCACAGCTCGTAAAGCCGGTCGTAGAGACGAAATCGCAGCCGTTGCCTGAGATCTGACGGCTGAGATCGAGTCCTGAAGAGGTTCCTGAGCCTGATGCAATCCAGGCCGTTCAGTGGGCTCCGTGTTCACTCGCGCACCCATTTGCAGCTGCTCTGGCGAGTTACCAGCGGTAAAAGCAGGGCCAGCACGAATATCAGGATCAGCAGGACCAGCAGGCCCGTTTGCAAGCTTGTTCTTTCCGCGGATCTCGCTTTCAAGGTCGTCATGATTCATGCTCCCACGCGACCTTCCAACCGATGTATTGGCTAAATCGTTATCACTCGTTTCTTGAATTTGATGATCTTGCCTTTCACCACCACCCAGTGTGCTCGTGACCGCGGGTAAGCGGCCAAGCCCATCGTCGTCATTCCCAAGGTTCACCACCGTAACTTGCGACGTTTTCCTGGTAACCAGCACCATCTGTTCGCGCTCACTTTCGCACTCGAGAAAAAACTGTTCGTCAACGTCGCTTTCGTGTTGGAGTCGCAGCGAAAACTCTTCGTCCACGTTCTCCGCGAACAACGAAATCGTGGGAATCTCGAAGGCCGCTTCGACGGAGTCTGCTCGGTCGAGGCCTCGCGAGCAGCGGAGCGTCGTTAGAACGCCACGGGGAGAGAGAAACTCGGTATAAGACGAAGCGCTACACGTCAGAAAATCCTCCATGGTTCGTGACAAACTTCATTCTTCTCCACTACAGGAAAGGCGTGTAGACACACTGTTAGCTATATCTTGTGTAGAAAGAAAATCGCTACGGAAGGACATACTATGTAGAGGAGTGCGCGGAAACTGAGAATGAACAATGACCACACGCAAAGGACCCTAACTAAAGATCTGAAAGAAGAAGCAGCTTCAAGAACGATTGGAGAATCTGGAAACCCGAAGAGCACGCAACGTTCGAGTACTGTGGATAAACTGGACGACTCCGCTGAAATCGACGAGTAGACAGGCAGGGAGTACTTGATTCACCAACGTATGACCTTGCGAAAAGCGAATTCGCCTGGGTGTTGCAACGAATCCCAAGTTTCCCCAACGAAGGGACAGCCGCCACAACGGCGGCTGCATGCACGGCAGCGAGTGCCTGCGGCTTGGCTGTGCGTGCTTGGCGGAGCGGGAAATGAGGTGTGCCGCCATAACATGCGGTATGGACGGAGAGGAGGATCAGCGTTTGGCTTATGCCTGGATTTGGTGTGTCCCTATCTTCGTTACAACTATGAGCTTGATGTCACCTGACAGCACGGCTGGTCCACGTGGTCGTGAGGCACAGGTCGATGCATGCAGCGACTATCCAGTCGTTCCGTACGGTTTCGTCTTTCACAGAAGCGTACTGCCCGCACGTCGCTGCCGTTTCTTTTGACCCAAGTTCAGTGTACCTTCTGAGGTTGAATCGCCAAAGCTGACTCATCGTGTCATGGGTCTGACAAACCCACCCCCTCACGACCACGCAAAGCACGCTCTCATTGGTCACAATAGTTGAGTCACCAGTGCCATCTCCGTGTACATGTCAGGAACTTGATGTGGAACGACGCTGTCCCCGTCCGAAACAATGCACGAAGAGCCAACCAGTGTGGCGCAATTTCGCAAATGGTTTCGACACAGGTGAATATGCGCATCGACGAAAGTGGTTACCAGCTTGGGCTTCTGTTCTCCAGCTGAGACCTCGCATGTTACACTTCACGCCCTTTCGCCAATCAGCAGAGCCAAGGAAAGCTCCCTACCAGCTTCCCTTGCATCCCAAGAGGCGACCCTTACAGCTATTTCCTTATCTCCGTCAGGACACAAAATTGGCTGGGGGATCAGGTGCGTGAGGTGCAAAATCATGCGCTGATTCGTATCGTAATGTCCAGGTTCACATCATGTCCTCGCTTCCAGCCATGCTGTGACTGACACAACCGCAGTAGCAGCAGGTGTTTGCTGTCCCTGCCACTCAAGCATCGTCCATATGACGTACAACCATAAGTGGTTTCGTGATGCTGCACTACGTCAGCTGCTTGTGTATCGCTGCGCATTTAGCAGCTTCCTCCAGGCTTTCACGCGAACGGCCTAAAAATAAATTCTTCCGTGCATCTCTTCCTGCAAATTAATCGATTACCTGATAGTTTGCATGCTGTAATACATTCTGTTTGGCGTGATCTTGTGATCGATTGATTAGCACAGATTGACTCCATCTAGTTAGTTCTCTGCCGTCGATCGGCCATGTTACCTGCTTCGTTGCCCCTATCAAACTGCTGGCATCATCAGCCGTCGCATCATTATCGCCATGCCGTCGCTTGCCTTTCGCAATTGCTCCTCCCGCACGTCGCTCGCAGCGTGCGACGCTGCGAGTTGCTCGACGTCAGCGAATCCTTAGAGCAATGGCTCTTTCGGTCGCGAAGCCTCCCTGCTGCCGTCGATCGCGCATCGTATCGCGAAGACCTCGGCGAAACCAATGTTCGAGATCAGGGAGTGGACGCAGCTGTTACAGTTGACACATCAAATGCTTTCTCGCGACACCCTAACAACTCCGGGGTGCTGCAGACGCCTCTCTCACGCCCCTCTACCCACGACCTGTTTCTCTCCCGCTCCCTCCTCGCCTCCAAATGTCAGCCTGACGATTCCTTGTTTCCCCATTTTACTCATTTGACGTTTGGAGATTCACGACGGTTGGAATCTTCCCATCCGTCGCAGTGTCACCGTCGATCGTACCGTATCGCCCACCGTCCGTCTCTCGAAGCGCGGTTCCATCACTCTCTCTCGACCTCGCGGCTCCGCGACTCGCCGATGCACGACGATCCGCCCCACCAGCCGCAGCAGCCGCGTCAGCAACGGTACGCCGCGAGCCTTGCGGCTGCAACGGCGGCGCGGGAGGAAGAGGAGGACGAGATGGAAGGGGAGGAGAAGGAGGAGATGCGAGCAGAGGAGGAAGTTGGAGAGAAACGCAAGCAACGGGGGGAAGGAGGGGAGGGGGAGGAGAAGAAGGCGTTAACGAAAGGAGAAGACTTGGTCAGAGTCAATCCTTCTATCATGATCAGACCATCCGCCAGTGAAAATTCGAAGCCACGATCAGCCATGGCTGACGGTGGTGTGGCAGGGAAAGAAGCGGTGACTGACGAGGTGACGGACGTGTTGACGGACTCGTTTGGGCGGCAGCACAGCTACCTGCGGATCTCGCTGACGGAAAAGTGCAACCTGCGGTGCTCCTACTGCATGCCCGCGGAAGGCGTGCAGCTCACGGCGAAAGAGTGAGTGGTAGCGGTGAGGCTATGCCAGTGCAGCACGTGGGTTGCCACTGGCAATTTGTGTTTGTGAGCACAATTGCGTGCGTGAGGTGCATCCTGCGATGCTCCTACTGCATGCCCGCTGAAGGCGTGCAGCTCACGCCGAAAGAGTGAGTGGTGTGATCGTGAGGCATGGTATGGGTTGCTTGTCATGAGTTGTGGCCGTATCAGCACATGGGTTGCATGAGGCATACTTTCTGGTTCCCAACTGGTTCCCCCACACACCTCCTCCGCCCACTCTCTCTTTGTCACCCTCTATCCTCCCCCCCCTCTCCACCCCTTGTTTTCCTGCCGCTGCTGCGTGCAGGCACCTGCTTTCAACGGACGAGGTCATTCGCCTGGCGTCGGTGTTTGTGTCGCAAGGCGTGACTAAGATCAGGCTGACAGGCGGCGAACCCACTGTGCGGCGAGACATTGTTGACATCTGCCAGTCGCTCTCCGCCCTGCCAGGTGTGTTTGCGCTCTCTGCCAGTCTGCCAGATGTGTATGCTTCCTCTGCTCTGCAAGGCGTGACTAAGATCAGGCTGACAGGCGGCGAACCCACTGTGTGATGAGACATCGTCGACATCTGCAGCTCGCTCTCCTCTCTCTGTCAGGTATGTGTGCGCACTCAACAGAGGATATAAACAACTAGGCTGACAGGAGGCGAACCCACAATCAGGCGAGACATCATTGACATCTGCCAGTCGCTCCAGTCGCTCTCCACTCTGTCAGGTATTGACTCTCAGACAGCTATGCACGCACAAACGATGAGCCCATGAACGCACACATAATTGGATGGATACAACGAGTTACCGTGTAACCTCTGCCCCTCCTCGCCCTGGCGCTTGTTGTATGCCCCCATGTGGAGTTATGTGGTGGAGGCCCCTGTGTCCACATAGGCCTCTACACCCTAGCACTCGCAGCAACCGGCATTTTGCTGCCGGCCAAGCTGCCAGCTTTGGGGCGGTGGGCATTGCGAGTGATTTTTGAGAATTCTCAAAAATCACTTGCCAGCTTTGGGGCGGTGGGCCTGTCCCACCCACCTGAACGTCAGTCCCTTCCTCTGCCTCCTCTGCCCCTGCCTGCCCACGCATACAGCGCTCAGCACCCTGGCGCTCTAATCAAACAGCATTCTGTTGCCGGCCAAGCTGCATGCCCTGTGGGAGGCAGGGCTGTCCCGCCTGAACGTCGGTCTAGTCTAGACACCCTCGTGGAGCCCAGGTTCCGCCCCTCCTTCTCTCCACTCCATGCATTCCCTGCTGTCCGTACCCCCACCTCTGCCCCTGCTTCTGCCCCTGCCCCTGCCTGCCTGTCCCTGCAGGGCTCAGTACCCTGGCACTCACATCAAACGGCATTCTGCTGCCGGCCAAGCTACCAGCCCTGAGGGAGGCGGGTCTGACCCACCTGAACGTCAGTCTAGACACCCTGGTGGAGCCCAGGTTCGAGCTGCTCACGTCACCTCTCCATGCATCCCCTGCTGTCTGTCTGTACCCCCACCTCTGCCCCTGCCTGTCTGCATGCACGCACAGGCCTCCGAACTCTGGCACTGACATCAAACGGCATGCTTCTCCCCACGAAGCTGCCAGCTTTAAGGGACGCGGGGCTGACCCACCTGAACGTCAGTCTGGACACCCTGGTGGAGCCCCGGTTCGAGCTGCTCACACGCCGAAAGGGCCATGCCCGCGTGCTCAGAGCTATCGACATGGCTCTGGATCTAGGCTTTGAGCCTCTCAAGGTGAGAGAGAGGAGGGGACTGAATCTCTAGGGCTGATTTTTACTGTCTGTCCGTCTGTCTGTCCGATTATCTGTCTGGAATTTCATGGCGCTCACCAGGGAGCGTTTCACTCACCATCTCCTTCCTTCCTTGGCGTAGCTCCCCTTCCTTCTTCCCCCAAACAGCAGCCCATCAACGATCCTTCCCCCCTCCCCCTCCCCCTCCTCCCCTTTCCCCTTATTCTTTCAAATTTCCCGTACCTAGCTCAACTGTGTGGTGATGCGCGGCATCAACGATGACGAGATTCTCGACTTCGTGGGTCTCACCAGGGACCGGTTGATCAACGTGCGGTTCATAGAGTTCATGCCGTTCGATGGCAACGTGTGGAAGACCAAGAAGATGGTGCCTTATGCTGAGATCATGGCCCGCATTGTGAGTTTCAGAAAGGGTAAATGGAGCGGCACGGGGGAGGAAGGGGTGGGAGGGGGTGCGAGGGACTGACCCATCAACGTGCGGTTGATAGAGTAGAGCTCATGCCCTTCGATGGCATGAAGATGGTGCCTTATGCCGAGATCATGGCCCGCATTGTGAGTTTCAGAAAGGGTAAATGGAGCGGCACGGGGGAGGAAGGGGTGGGAGGGGGTGCGAGGGACTGACCCATCAACGTGCGGTTGATAGAGTAGAGCTCATGCCCTTCGATGGCATGAAGATGGTGCCTTATGCCGAGATCATGGCCCGCATTGTGAGTTTTTTCTGGAAGGGGGGAAGGGGCGTTGGGAACGGCAGCCACAGCATGCTGAGGTGATAGTGTGCATGCTGTGGGCCTTTCAGTGGAAAGGAAAGGGCCTGGGGGGGAGTGATGTGATGTGATGAAACACCGTGATGTCCTTTGAGGAACTTTGAACGGACAGCTATCCGACCCCCCCCCCCTGCCATCCCAACACCCTCGCCTCTATTTTCCCCTGCCTATACCACCCCCCTCGTTTTTCGTCCCCCTCTCCTCTTTGGAGGGAACGCCATCCCGACATTGCTCGCCTCAGGGACCACCCATCCCACCTCTTCCTACCTCTTCCCACCTCTTCCCACCTCTTCCCACCACTTCCCACCGTTCCCAACTCCCCCACTTCCCGTTTCCTTCCCCATTTCAGAGGGAATGCCATCCAGACATTGCCCGCCTCAGAGACCACCCATCCGACACGGCGAAAAACTTTCAGGTGCCCGGATTCGCGGGCAGCGTGTCGGTAATTTCCTCCATGACCAGCCACTTCTGCTCGGGCTGCACGCGCCTGCGCTTGTTAGCCGACGGGAACCTCAAAGTGTGCCTCTTTGGCCCCAATGAGGTGAGCTACCATAGAATGAGGTGAGCTACCATAGAATGAGGTGAGCTACCATAGAATGAGGTGAGCTACCATAGAATGAGGTGAGCTACCATAGAATGAGGTGAGCTACCATAGAATGAGGTGAGCTACCATAGAATGAGGTGAGCTACCATAGAATGAGGTGAGCTACCATAGAATGAGGTGAGCTACCATAGAATGAGGTGAGCTACCATAGAATGAGGTGAGCTACCATAGAATGAGGTGAGCTACCATAGAATGAGGTGAGCTACCATAGAATGAGGTGAGCTACCATAGAATGAGGTGAGCTACCATAGAATGAGGTGAGCTACCATAGAATGAGGTGAGCTACCATAGAATGAGGTGAGCTACCATAGAATGAGGTGAGCTACCATAGAATGAGGTGAGCTACCATAGAATGAGGTGAGCTACCATAGAATGAGGTGAGCTACCATAGAATGAGGTGAGCTACCATAGAATGAGGTGAGCTACCATAGAATGAGGTGAGCTACCATAGAATGAGGTGAGCTACCATAGAATGAGGTGAGCTACCATAGAATGAGGTGAGCTACCATAGAATGAGGTGAGCTACCATAGAATGAGGTGAGCTACCATAGAATGAGGTGAGCTACCATAGAATGAGGTGACCAGCTGTGTGGGCGGCCAGTGTGTCAGTGGCCTGCTGCGTGTCTGTGATCTCCTCCATGACCAGCCACTTCTGCTCCGGCTGCACACGCCTGCGCCTGCAGGCCGATGGGAATCTCTAAGTGTGCCTCTTTGGTCCGAACGAGGTGAGTAGCAACCTAACAACGACTGAATGTCGATTCTAATCGGTGCGGTGCGCTTCTCTCCGCCTGCTGGCCGGGGGGGTGTCACTTCTGCTCCGGCTGCACGCGCCTGCGCTTGCTAGCTGATGGGAACCTGAAAGTCTGCCTGTTTGGCCCCAACGAGGTGAGCAACGCCCCACGGAATGGTGCATTCATACTCCCATGTTCTTGAGTGCTCATTTTCCGATGTGCCTTTTGAGGCGCCTCAAAAGCAACGCACCACGGAATGGTGCATTCATGCTCTCATCTTCTCGTGCGCTCGTTTTCTCACGCCTATGCCGTCATAAGCTCTCTTCTTCCCTTTCTCTTTCCTCCTACTTATTTCTGCGCTCGTGCCTTCTACATACGTTTCCCCTTCTCTACCACCCACCTTCATTTTTCATCCATCTCTCGCTCCATTTGTTCCCAACAGGTGAGTCTGAGGGATGCGCTGAGGCAGGGAGCAACGCAGGGGGAGCTGCTCTCCCTCATCTCTGCTGCGGTAGGTCGCCAGCCTCTGCGGGTTGAGGATACGGTGTGCCGTGAGTGTTTATTGGTGGGTACCATGCTGTCTGGTTCATTCAGTCAGGTGTGAGCGTGTTCCGGGGTTATGGGTCTGACTCTGAGGGATGATGAACTCACCTCTGAGAATTTTCATTAGTGATTTCATGAGTCTGATCTAGGGATGTAAAGAGGCAGGGAGCAATGGAGGAGGAGTTGCTCCCTCTCATCTCTGCTGTGGTAAGTCCACCCTGTGTGGTTTATGCAATGTTGCGTGAGCGTACGGTGTGGTGTGAGAGTGTTTCTCCTTTGTACGGTCCAGACATGCAACAAACCGCTAGCGGCGGTACCGTAATTCCTGCTCGGGTAGTTGTTGTTGGGCGCACCTTTGAATGGAAAACATGGTTGCATGCGAGATTGTCACACGGTCTTACAGACCTCTTTCTTACCGTGCGTTTCTCGCCCTTTTCCCTGTTCCGACGGTATGTCAACCCAACAGGTGAAGCGGAAGAAGGCTGCTCATGCGGGCATGCTAGAGATTGCGAGAACACACAATAGACCGATGATTACCATTGGTGGATAGAGTCACATGGGTGCTGGTTGATTGTTATCGGAACGTTGGATTGATGCAAGACAAAGTGATAGCAATGCATAGATGATGGATCACAGGAATGGACCCTACAATCCTTGTATCATAATTATGCCTATACCATAGAGCTGAATGCACCTTGCCATGGGCTAAAAGTAGGAAAACATTACAAAAATAAAAGGAATCAAGATAATAAAGCACCACATTACATGGCAGGAAATATGGAAATTACGGTATGTCAGTGTTCTCGTGAGTTTACCAGACGAGAACTATCTATGTAAGGTAAGGTAGTACTGTACTGCTATCCAAGAATCATATTTTTGCAGGCACCTGCAACAATTAATAAGACCCTGGAGGTCCTTGGGCCAAATAGACTTGGTGAGGAAATGGCTCATACCGGCGAGATTTTTGAGGCAACTGAAATGTCGTCCATCCGTAAACCAGCATTTAGATTTTCGCGGGCACCTGCGGCATTTTAATGAGTCCGTGAAGGTCCTTGGGGTGAATGGGCTTGGTGAGGAAGTGATTCATTCCAGGCGAGAAGCTTGAGATGTCTCGTACCGTGAGTCGCTTCTCCACTAACATGGAATCTGGTAGATCTTCGCGGGCACCTGCAGCAAGTTTTGGAGGCGCCTCAAATCTAGAACCAAGCAGCTAGATTTTCGCAGGCACCTGCAGCAATTTGATGGGCCCCTGAAGGTCCTTGGGGCGAATGGGCTTGGTGAGGAAATGGTTCATCCCGGCCGAGATGTTTGAGATGTCTCAAAAGTTGCTTATCCACTGGCCTGGAATCTAGATCTTCGCAGGCACCTGCAGCAGTTTGATGAGCCCCTGAGGAAGTGATTCATCCCGCCCAGCCGAGATGTTTGAGATGTCTCACACCGTAAGTCGTTTTTCCACTAACATGGGATCTAGATCTTCGCGGGCACCTGCAGCAACTTGATGAGACCCTGGAGGTCCTTGGGGCGAATGGGCTTGGTGAGGAAGTGGTTCATCCCGGCCGAGAAGCACGCCTCTCTCTCAAAGTCAAACGCACTCGCTGTCAACGCCACTATGAACATCGGCGGTGCCATCACACCATTAGTCCAGCTTCCCAATCCCGGTCCGCTCGTGTTACTACTTCCAACAGTCTCCCCAAGAGTCTTCCCGTGAGCCTCCCCAACAGCCTCGCACCCGCCATCTGCCCTGGTTTCTTGAGCTGCAATGGCTTGCGTGGGGCCTCCTGTCTCTGTACATGCATCTGTGCTTCGCCCTGCTAGCTGCTCGCGGGTTCTCTCTGCTTCCATCTGTCGGATCCGTCTCGTGGCTTCTAGGCCGTCCATTTCCGGCATGTGGCAGTCCTGATTGGTGGGAGGGAATGCGAGAGAGGCGGTTGAGTGATCACACTCTGAAAATGAAGGGCATTTCGCACAGGTGCCTAAGAGCATTCCATGCATTTGCCAAGCAATATGCAACACACTCATACGCACACAAGCACGCACGCCGCTCACCATGAGCACGAGGTCGAATCTCTCCTCCCTGCATGCATCCACGGCCATCACCCCATTGTCAGCCACCCGGCAGTCCAGCCCCAGGCGCTTGAGCATGCGAGTCACCACCAGCTGGTTCACTGCATTGTCCTCTGCAACCAACACACACCGTCTTTCCCACACACACGCTCATCCATGCACACACATATCCATGCATGCACGCAGGTTACTCACCATGAGCACGAGGTCGAATCTCTCCTCCTTGCAAGCATCAACGGCCATCACCCCGTTATCCGCCACGCGGCAGTCCAGCCCCAGGCGCTTGAGCATGCGAGTCACCACCAGCTGGTTCACTGCATTGTCCTCTGCGACTAACACACGCAACGCCTGCTGCTGCTGCTGCTGTTGTTGTTGTTGCTGCTGCTGCTGCTGCTGCTGCTGTGGCTCCCCCCTTGCTGCTGCAGCTCCTGCTGACCCTCTTGCAGGTTGCCCTTCTCCTCCTCCTGCTGCTGCGAGTGGTCGCAGCGCGGCGGCAGCGTTTTGATTCCTTTCGCCCTTCCTCTCGCCCTTGCTCTCGCCCTTCCTTTCGCCCTTGCTCTCTTCCATCACCGGGCTGTCGCATTCGCTCTCCCCTGAGTCGCACATCAACAATATGTCTCCTTCTGAGAAGCTTCCTCTCATTCCCCGCCGCCGCGGTAGCCCTGTCGCCCGGCCCACAGGCGACATCTCAAGCTGCCCATCCTGCTGCCCATCCTGCTGCCCATCCTGCTGCCCATCCTGCTGCCCATCCTGCCGCCCATCCTGCTGCCCATCCATGCATCCCTCCCTGCCCCTTTCCCTCCCATCCTCCCCCTCCTTCGCAGCCGTTCCCACAGCCTCGCATCCCTGTGCCACATTGTGAACTCGCACGCACCCAGCAACAAGAGAACCAGGAGCAGCACCAGGCACGACCATTGGAGACTCAGGAACCGCTTCAGTCGGGAAATAAGGGTTTCCACGGGCGCTTTCACAGGAATCTCCCACTGTGCCTGCTGGTGCGAGTGTGTGCAGGGGAGAGGCGGGCTCGGGGGCATGAGCTGCTTGCAACGATTGCTGCTGGTTCGCGGTGTTGCTCCCATTGCCATTTGCCCTGGACGCAGGTTCTGCTCCTGCTCTTGCTGCTGCTTCTGCTTCTGCTGCTCCTGCTCCAAACGCTGGGAACTCCTCTTTCTCCTCCTCCTCCACCTCCTCCTCTTCCTCTTTCTCCTCCTCCTCCACCTCCTCCTCCCGTATTGGTATCCCTGCTCTGCAACCCTCCACGTCCTCTCTCCCTGTGTCCTCCTCCAGTCTCTCCAGAGCTCCACGCTCGTGCCACTGCTGGCACGGTGCAGTAGCGTCATTCGAATCCCCTCCCCTCGTACATTCATTACAATCTCCTCTCTTCGCACCTTCATTAGAATCTCCTCTCAGCATATCCTCTTCAGTCCTCTGAGTCGACTCAGGAGCCTCTTCGCAGCTCTCCTTTTGGAAAGCCTTTGTACCACTCTCGTTAGAGCCACCTTTCTTTGCACCACACCGCTTATAATGTTGCCTCTTTTGCCCATCCACAGTGCCGAGGCTACTGCCGAGGCTGCTAATAATGTTGCTGCCAACAATGCTGCCACTGCTGTTACGATCATAGCTGCCGCGGCCGCTGCTACTGCTAGAGGTTCGGCTCCAAACGTACTCGACAGGCTCGGCAGCAGCGGAGGCTTGGCCGGGGCTGTCTCTGAGTGTTCCCACACACACAGTGAACGAGAAAGTTGAGCCCTGAGTTGGGAGGTAGGGTTGGGAGGGGTGCAGGGGGAAGAAGTGGGGGGAGGGAAACGGGGAAGAGCATGAGATGAGAACGTGTGTGTGCTATGGCTGTCCCTGAGTGCTCCCACACAGACAGTGAAAGAGAAAGTCGAGCCCTGAAGTTGGAAAGCAGGGTTGGGGGGGGGGGAGAGAGGGAAGAGCAAGAGATGTGAGTGTGTGCTATGGCCTGGCTGAACAGCTACTGTGCATCATACTCCTTATGCCACCATTCACCTCACCCTCCTTGCTCGTGAGCTCGATAGTCCCCCCCATGAGAGTCACCAGCGCACGGCAGATAGCCAGGCCCAGCCCTGTCCCTCCGAATCTCCTGCACGTGCTGCTGTCCGCCTGGGTGAAGGCCTCAAGTGCTACATACGTTTTGTCCTAACATGTTTGTGTCCCCACTCACCTCGCCTTCCTTGTGATTTTGGAGAATTCACAAAAATCATTCGCCTGGGTGAAGGCCTCAACTGCTGCTACATACGTTTGGTCCTACCGTGTTTGTGTCCCCACTCGCCTCGCCCTCCTTGCTCGTGAGCTCGATAGTCCCCCCCATGAGAGTCACCAGCGCACGGCAAATCGCCAGCCCCAGCCCCGTGCCTCCGAAGCGGCGGCACGGGCTGCTGTCCGCCTGGGTGAAAGCCCACCCCAACAGCGACTTACCATACCATACGGTAAGGGGATTGTTATGCTACAGCCTAGCCTACAGGCCTCCACACTCACCTCACCCTCCTTGCTCGTGAGCTCGATAGTCCCCCCCATGAGAGTCACCAATGCGCGGCAGATAGCCAGCCCCAGCCCGGTCCCTCCGAATCTCCTGCACGTGCTGCTGTCCGCCTGGGTGAAGGCCTGGAACAGGCGGCTCTGCCCCTCCTGCGAGATGCCGATGCCTGAATCCGAAACCGTATACTGCAGCACCACCCTAGATGAGTCCCCCTCCTTGCCTGCTTCTTGCTCTCCCTCCTCTCCTCCGTTCCCCTCCTCCTTGCCGGTGTTTTCCCCCTCCTTGACTCTCCCTTCGTCGTCCATGCCTGCTGCTGCCAAGCCCTCTCTGCCTTGGTTCTCCGCAAGCGAAGGACTAGCAGCAGACGCGTGAGGGAGGCCGGGGGAGGAGGAGGAGGAGGAGGGGGAGCAGCAGCAGCAGCCGGGGCAGGGGCGGAGGCGGGAGAGGGAGACGGAGATGCGGCCGTGATGGGTGAACTTGAGGGCGTTTGACACCAGGTTCAGCAGCACCTGCCTCAACCGCACTGCATCTGTCGTCACCGCGTGCGGCACGTCTGGTGCGACCCGCACGTTCAGCTGCAATGGGGAGTGTGTGGGGAGGGAGAGACGAGGGAGAGGTGAGGGAGGCACAGGAGGGAGGGAAAGGGGAAAGGGAGAGGGAATTTTGAGAAATACCAGTCCCGCCATGTCTCACTTTTGATGCCTCTCGAGACATCTCGCGATAAAGGAAGGAAGGCATAGTAACGAACAGATCTCAGAACCCACCCACCTGCAGACCCTTGTCTTGCACAGCGGTGCGGAAGAGAGCAAGAGAGCTCATGAGGTGCTGCCTTGCGTCCAGCTGAGTGGCCTCCTCGAGCTCCATCTTATCGCTCTCTATCTTGCTCAGATCCAGGATGTCTGACAGGATCTGCAGCAGCCCTTCGCTGCCCTCCCACTCACTCCTACTCTCCCCCTACCCCTCACTCCTCACGCGCTAAAGTGCAGGACACAGTTCCAAAAAACAAGGGAGAACGCACCTGAAGGCCCTTGTCTTGCACGGCGGTGCGGAAGAGAGCAAGCGAGCTCATAAGATGCTGTGCAGCTGTGCAGCTGGGCGTCCAGCTGTGCAGCTTCGAGCTCCATCTTATCGTTCTCTATCTTGCTCAGGTCGAGGATGTCTGACAGGATCTGAACTCTCTCAACACCCACTCACGAGCAGCCCCAGCTCTTCCCCACACCCTCACTCTCCACCCACATTATCTTTAGACCCACCTGCAGCCCCTTGTCTTGCACGGCCGTGCGGAAGAGAGCAAGAGAGCTCATGAGGTGCTGCCTTGCGTCCAGCTGTGTGGCTTCTAATTCCATCTTATCGCTCTCTATCTTGCTCAGGTCAAGGATGTCTGACAGGATCTGCAGCAGCCCCTCGCTGCAGGAGCGGATGGTCTCTGCCAGCATGCGCTGCTCCTCGCTCAGGGCTGTATCCAGCAGAAGATCTGCCACTCCAATCACGCCTGTGGAAGAGAGTAGGGAGGGGAAGGGAGACAGGGAGGTGATCTCATGACTCATACTTACTAGAAATGCGCCTTGGACAGACTCGCCGACTCGATTCATCACGGCGGCAGTAGCATACAATATCAGAAGGCAAATCTCACCGTTCATAGGCGTTCTAATCTCGTGGCTCATGTTGGCCAGGAACTGTGTCTTTGAGAGACTCGCCCTCTCTGCCGCCTGCCTCGCCCGCTCCGCCTCCTGCTTGGCTCGCTCCAACGACGCTTCCTTGCACCTCACCTCCGTTTTTGAAGGAGCTGGCAAGCTGCGTCTTGGACAGACTCGCCCTCTCTAGGTGACACAGCACAGCACGACCCTGAAAGAAAAGGCCGCACCTGACAGCTTTCTGGAAGCCAAATCCCACTCACCGTTCATGGGTGTCCTGATCTCGTGGCTCATGTTCGCCAGGAACTGTGTCTTTGAGAGACTCGCCCGCTCTGCCGCCTGCCTTGCCCGCTCCGCCTCCTGCTTGGCTCTCTCCAAGGACGCTTCCTTGCGCTTCACCTCCGTCAGATCGTGCCACACCATCAGATACACCGCTGCTCGCGAGTGGGAGGAGTGAGAGGAGGAGGAGGAGGAGGAGGAGGAGGAGGAGGAGGAGGAGGAGGAGGAGGAGGAGGAGGAGGAGGAGGAGGAGGAGGAGGAGGAGGAGGAGGAGGAGGAGGAGGAGGACTGTGGTTGCGCCTGCGATTGGGACTGCAATTTGCCCGCGTCTGCTCCTCCTCCCCCCCCCTGTGGGGCACCCATAAGGTCCACAAGCCGGCACAGAGCCTCCACAGGCAGAACACCCGCCCTCATCATCTTGAAACACCCATTCAAACCGCCTCAAATCGCACATTCCGCCGCCCCCACCGCCGCTGCTACCGCCGCCGCCACCGCTGCTGGGGCTGCTGCAGCTGCTGCCGCTACAGCTGTGAGGGCTGCCGCTGCTGCCGGCGCCGGCGTTGCTGTCGGCGAGCTCATCGAGAATGGCCTGCAGGGCTGTAGCGGGCTGGCCCGTGCCCGGCTGTAGCAGCGGGGAGAGCGACTGGATGGTGCGGCCTATCAGGTGGTCCTTGCTCCTCGCCTTGATCATTCTCACTGTCGCCTGGTTGCAGTCTAAGAGCCTGCCGTCCTTGCTCAGAAGCATCTTGGGGTCCTGGGGAGCGGAAGGAGGGGATTAGAGGAATAGAGAGAGCGGCTGGATGGTGCGGCCTATGAGGTGGTCCTTGCTCCTCGCCTTGATCATCCTCACCGTTGCCTGGTTGCAATCCAATAGCCTCCCATCCTTGCTCAGCAGCATCTTGGGGTCCTGGCGAGGGGAAGGAGGGGATGAGAGGGACAACCTTGAGCGAGTGGATGGTGCGGCCTATCAGGCGGTCCTTGCTCCTTGCTTTAACCATGCTCATCGTTGCTTGGTTGCAGTCTAACAAACGCCCGTCCTTGCTGAGAAGCATCTTGGGGTTCTGCAGGGGAGGGGATGGGAGAGAGGAAAGAGCAGGTGTGCGGCAGGGAAAGAGAGAGACAGAGCGAGCGACTGGATGGTGCGGCCTATGAGGTGGTCCTTGCTCCTCGCCTTGATCATCCTCACTGTTGCCTGGTTGCAATCCAGCAACCGTCCGTCCTTGCTGAGAAGCATCTTGGGGTCCTGCAGAGAAAGGAGAGGGGTGCAGTGGGGGAGAGGGTTGGGATGAGAGGGTTGGGATGAGTGGGTTGGAATGAGAGGGGCAGAATGAAAGAGATGATCGAGAATAGCCTGCAGGGCTGTAGCGGGCTGCCCCGTGCCCGGCTGTAGCAGCGGGGAGAGCGATTGGATGGTGCGGCCTATGAGGTGGTCCTTGCACGACTTCAAAGAGAGGCCTGACAACCAGTTCAAGTTCCGCATGCTCCTTGAGCTCTCCTCAAAGCAGTGCACTCACAGAGGAGAGCTTAAAGAGCATGCAGAACATGAACTGGCTGTCAGGCCTCCCGTTAAAGTTGAACAGGCCTTCGACTTGCCTTGAGTTCTCTCAAATAAACCACTCCCTCACACTTACAGTTACAGAGGAGAGGTGAACCGTGAAAGAAGAACACTCACAGAGGAAAGCACAAAACACTGAACTACTCACAGAGGAGAGCTCGAAGAGCATGCGGATCTTGAACTGGTTGCCGGGCCTCTCTCTGAAGTCATGCAAACCGTTGAGTCGAGCTCACGAGTTCTCTAATAAACCACTTGCTCGCGCATACAGAGGGAAGCTCAAAACACTGCACTCACGGAGGAGAGCTCAAAGAGCATGCGGAACTTGAACTGGTTGCCAGGCCTCTCCTTGAAATCATGCAGGAGCCATGTCTCCGATGCCCCCCTCGGCTTCTGTGACGGGTCCACCCGAATGCGCCTCATCCCAACCGGCTGCTGCGGATGCTGCTTCTGCTTCTGCTGCTGCTGTTTCTGGTTCTGGTCACTTCCCCCCTGCTCTCCCTGCCCCTTCACCTCCTGCTCTCCCGCTCCCCCTTGCCCCGCCCCCTTCTCCTCCGCCTCTCCCGCTTGCTTCTCCTCCTGCCCTTCTGCCTTAGCAGCCCCCGTCCCGCGTGCTATAGCCACGTCCCACGTGCTTAGCTTGCCCTTGCGTAGTTCAGAGTAGGATTCCGAGGAGGTGAGAGTGGACGGGGCGAGGGCGAAGAGGCTGTTTTCAAGTGCCTCATCCCGTGAGGCGGATCGCGGGGTGAGGGCACCAGCAGGAGTGGGGGGATGAGGAGACTTTTGAGAAGTCTCAAAACTGGATTCAGAGGAGGTGAGGGTGGACGGGGCGAGGGTGAGGAGACCGTTTTCAGGCGCCTCATCCCGTGAGGCGGATCCCGGGGAGAGGACAGCAGGAGTCTGTTTTTGAGGCGCCTCATCCCGTGAGGCAGATCGCGGGATGAGGGCGGCAGAAGGAGAAGTCTGCTGTTGAGGCACCTCAGCGACAGGCGTTTCGTCCCGTGAGGCGGATCGCGGGGTGAGGGCAGGAGAAGTCTGCTTTTGAGGCGCCTCATCCCGTGACGCGGATCGCGGGATGAGGGAAGCAGGAGGAGGGGTGGGAGGCTGAGGAGAAGGAGGAGGAGGAGCAGGAGAAGGAGAAGGGGGAAGGGTGAGGGTGGGGGTAAGAGGAGGAGACGCGGCAGGAATAGGGGCTGAGGCTGAGGCACAGAGGGACGCAGAGAGGGGGGCTAGGGCAGGAGCGAAGGAAGAGAGGGCGGAGGGAGCGACGGGGGAGGGAGCGACAGGGGAGGAAGCGAGTTGGGACGAAGCAGGAGGCGAGAGAGGGAGAGGAAGAGCAAAAGCAGCGGAGGCAGAGACAGGAGAAGCTGGAGAGAGCGAAAGAGAAGCAGGAACGGAAGTTAAAGTGCAATCCACGAGCGTGGTAGACGCAACAGCAGCAGCGGACAACTTTTGAGACGCCTCAAAAGCACTGGAAGAGGTGCATTCTTGAGAATTCTCAAAAGCGGACGCCTTTTGAGACGTCTCAAAAGCACCGGAAGTGGTGCATTCAGCAAGAGTGGTGGTGGTGGCGATGCCAGTGGTGGGGGCGGCAGTGGTGGTGGTGGTGGTGGTGGTGGCGGCGGAGGTGGTGGTGGTGGTGGTACTAGAAAAAGTGGTTGACTCAGCGACCTCATTAAGAGCAGCTGCAGCAGCAGCAACAGCAGCAGCAGTGGACGAAGCAGCAACAGCAGAAGCTGCCTTGGCAGCATTCGCGATTTCAGCTATTGTCTCCCCATACCCACCCTCCCTCCCTGCTCCACCACCCAACGCCAAACCTCCCAAGCTGCTCCGTCCCGAACCTCCCCGGTTGGTTCGGCGGTTCAGGATCGGGAGAACGCTCTGCTGTGGCTTTTTCCTCCTGCCACCACTGTACAGGCTCCGGAACCAGCCCTCTACCGAGCCTGCGCCTCTGCTTTGGGATGCAGGCTTGGCGGGGGGAGTTTTGGGTTGTGAGAGGGCGGCTAGAAGAGGATTGGTTGGGATGTGGAGTGTGGAGTACACGTTCTGCTGCAGTTTGCTCACTCCCCCCTTCCTTTGCGTGCTGCCTGCTGCTGAGCTGGCAGGCTGGCTTTCTGAGCTGGCAGATAGGTCAGCTGAGCTGGCGGATTGTTCTGCCAAGCTGGCAGCAGCGGCAGAGGAGGTACTGATCAAATCCGCAGCTTGGGTGATCTCCGGTGCGGGATGCTTCCGAACCTGAGAGAGAGGCTCGGTATGAGGCTCGGAAGACGTTGTTAGCAGCGGAGGGTCGTCTGCGTCGGTGCAAGTGTGGTGGCTCTGGCTCTTTGCTTCTGGCACAGACGCCGGACCTGTGGCTTGGGGTTGCTGCCGAGCCTCGGGCTTAGCCTCGGAAGGGTGCCAGGCCGCTGGTTCGGAAATACGTGAAGTGCGCTCAGGTGGTGTTAAGACTGCAAGGAGTGAGGAGGGAGGAGGGACAAGGAGAGAACACCAGAGATAAGAAGATGGAGTACCAGAAATGAGAGGAGGGGAGAAGACCAGCCATACAAGCGGATCAAGCGTTGAGACGACTCACAGCAGGGGAGGAGAGAGAAGAGCAGAGGAGAGCAGAGAAGAGCAGAGCTCAGCAGAGCAGAGAAGGATATTAAACACGAGGACCCACCTGTTATGACCAGGTCCTTGCACGGCCCAACCTCAAAGAACTGAATGCACACCGGCACCAACCACTCCCGCTCCTCCTCCTCCTGCTGCTGCTGCTGCTCCTGCTGCTCCAGCCCCTGCTGCCCCTGCTGCTTCTGCTGCTGCTGCTGCTGCCTCTCCTTGTTCCCCTCCTCCTCCTCCGCCTCCTCCTCCCTCCGCTCCCCCCTCTCCTCACGCTCCTCCCTCCCCTCTCCCCTCTCCTCGCGCTCCTCCATTCCCTCCCCCTTTGCGCCCTTCCCCTCCCCGCCTGCGCCCTTCCTCTCCCCCTCCCCGCCCTTCCTCTCCCCCTCCCCGCCCTTCCCCTTCCCCCCCGCGCGCTTCTCCCGCCCCACCATCCAGCGGTACAGCCACTGCGCGCCTGAGCGCGGAACGCGCGTAGCAGGACGCGGGAGCGATGGCTTGGAGAGAGGCGGTGCAGTGGGGGTGGAGTTGAGAGGCTTTTGAGGCGTCTCAGGGCGCGGGAGCGTGGGCTTGGAGAGAGGTGGTGCTGTGGAGGCAGAGTTGAGAGGCTTTTGAGGCGTCTCAGAAGCAGGGAGCGTGGACTTGGAGGAGAGAGGTGATGCTGTGGGGTTCAGCGGAGGAGGGGGAGCTGATGCTGCAGATGCTGCTGCTTCCGCATCTGTTGTTGCTGCTGCTGTTGCTGCTGCTGCTGCTTTTGCTGCTGCTGCTGCTGCTGCTGCTGCTGCTGCTGCTGCTGCTGCTGCTGCTGCTGCTGCTGCTGCTGCTGCTGCTGCTGCTGGTGGTGCTGCTGCTGGTACCGTTGCTGTGTCATGCCCATTGTTGCGACGTAACAGTGGCAGCGATAGGGTTACCACGTCCACACCGCCGCTCTCCAGCTGGCCAATGAGGTCCCGCCACGTGTCCAGAGGCAGTGCAGCACCCGCCAATCCAAGAAAGGAGCTCTGGGGAAGGGGGACGGAATGACAGGGAGGGGGGATTCTGAGATTTCTAAAAGACATCTGCGGAAGGCCAACAGGAAAACAGGGAGGAGAATGAATGGAGAGAGAGAGAGTGGAGAAGCGAAGGAAAGCGCGCGTGAGAGTGCAGGAGGGGTGGGGGGGGATTCGGGTGTAGGTCCTGAGACAACAGAGAGGGAAGGAAGGAAGCTGAGATGCCAGGGTGGTGTGGGAGAGCAGGGAAGACACGAGAGAAGCTGTGGTGGGTGAAATGGAAAGGGGAGAAGGGGGGGAAGGAGGATTGGGAGCGGTATTAGGGAGAGAAACTCTTACATAGGGAGCTCACACCCCCAGTCAACCCCTCAGACACTCGCTCAACCCCTCGCTCGTTTACTAAGCCCCTCGCTCTCTCACTCACTCGCTCCCCCACTGACTCGCTCCCTCACTCACTCACTCACCCCCTCCAGCCGCCCCTTTTCTCCGCAAAACATCCTCTCCGCGCCTCGACTGGCGCAAGTCACGGCGCCATCGGCAGGCCGCACGACGAGCTGCACGCACTGCGACTGGCGCACCACTTGCGCCACTACCCCCGCGCGGAAACGCTGCGCCAAGCGCGCGGCGCGTGACGGCGAAAGCGGCGGGGAAGGCGGCGGCGGAAGCGCGGCGTCGAACGCCCGCCTCTGCCGGCCGCCGGCGCTTCCCGGACATACCCCCGCCGCGGATGCCGCGGACGCCGCGGACGCCGCCGAAGCAGTTGGTACCATCACCGCGCCAGCGGCGGCGGCGGCGGCGGCGGCGGAGGTGGCAGCGGCGGCGCGTACACTTATCCACTGAGGAAGTACTGGCTGCTCGCGCGGGGCGGTCCGTTGACGCCGCGGGGACGGGGAAACGGCGGATTGGAGAGCGGGCAGGTTCCCGCACGACGAGGCGCGGGAGAATCTGACAAAGAGCGGTTCCGCGGCATCGTCGGTATCCCCCGCGGGTCGAGCGCCGCGAGCGGTGGCGGAGGTAGACGGTTTCGCGCCAGCGCCCACGCCCGCGCCCTCGCCCGCGCCAGCGAGAGCGCCAGCGGCAGGGCCAGGGGATGGAAGAGACGCTTCTAGAGCGGAACCGGCGCGCGGGACGCAAGCCGCCGCGGAAACGGTCGTGGCAGCCTCCGGCGGGCAGGTGCGGGACTTGGGGAAGGGAAGCGACGACATTTGCGATGCCCCGCGCGGAAGACATTCGAAAGCACCGGTAGTAGTAATATTACTATTCGTACTAATACTACTAACAGCACTGGTAGTACTATTAGTGGTAGCGCTCCTGGGAATTAGTACGCGGGTGGTAGAGTCTAAGCCTGAAAATACTTCTACTTCAGAAGTCGGAACCGAGGGCGATGCCGTTGTTATTAATTGGTCCTGACGCGCCTCGAAACTCCGCGGGTATGGCAGAGGAGAGAAGCGCGGGAAATGGCGGCCGTCGGCGGAAGAAGGGCCACCTGCGGAAGCGGAGCCGCCGCTCCGCGGACTGCGACAATGGAGCCGAGAGTCGTCTGCGTCATGCGGCGGCGCGAGTCCCGCAGGACACGTGTCGTGTTGCGATTCGGCTCGGCGCTGATAAGTGACGGATGAGAGAATCTTCATCTGAAACGCTACCAGCTTTTCCGGGTCGATAGCTGCTGGCGCGACGATTGGCGCGGGGATTGGAATGGGAACTGGCGCGCCGATTGGCGCAGCTAGCGCAGGGGCTGGAGTAGAAATTTCCGCAGTTCGAGGGTCCGTAAACTCAGGGATGGAGCTGTTGGCGCCATCCATCACCTCGACGGTTTCCGTCAGCGGCAGATTGTCAAACGAAGCCGCACTAGACGGCCAGGCTGACGTGGCTGTCGTCGTGACGCGTCGCTGTGAAAATGCCGACGATGCGAAGACTCCTGATGCTCTCGCCCGCTCACTGCCCTCGGAGAAACCACCAATCGTAGTGGAACCATCTCGCGTGACATGCGGCGCGTCATGCGGAGAGGGGAAACTGAAGGGCGAGGCGCAGTCCGCCATGTTGATGCTAGCAGCACCCCTGCTACTACTGCCTGATGATTCTGCCGGAGCCACGACGATTTCGATATAAGAACAGACTGGTGCAGCTGCCGAAGATGCTTATACGGGGAATTGTGGTATTTTTGGGAGTCGACTACAGGCTGATGGAACCGCGTAGATTTTCAATGTTAGACGGACCCGTGCTAGTGCGGTATCATAGGCGGATTAATTGGTGGATTAGGAGGTCTTCCTTTGAAGAGCCTCTAGATTATCTATGACAGATTAGGTCACCCAGCATGTGAGGGGAATTGGGAGCCAGTCACCTCGAACCAGGCGAAGGGGAACTGAGCCGAAACAGGTGACTGCTGCTTTGCATCATGAGTCAGAGGAGTCAGAACAGAACCTCTCCGCTCGTGGTACGGATCTAGGGAGAGGGAAAGCACAGCAGCACACGGAGAAAACTAGGAAACGGAAACCAGCGCCATTACAGTACAGTACAGTAAATTTGTGTGGTTTATGTTCCTGAAAGTCCGCCTCTAACCACCGTCACGCCATTGTCCATTGGTGAATGCGAGGTTATTGGATTTGCTCCGTGTCTACGCCATGTCTCATGGGCTCAACCCACCGCCAGGCAGCCTTTTCCTGTCCATGCGTTGAAGATACGGTTCAAGTTGACAATCTCGAGAATCCAGAATCCAAACCCGATAGAAACCGTACTGCACCCTTGCTAGTCTACTTTCTACCGTGCGGAGACGCGTCCAAGTCATGGGAAACGGGGCAGTGTGATGTGATGCTCTGCTTGTACTTGAGACTCAACTCGACACTTTCCCTCGATCATTCAGAGCGGTGCAGTACGTTTGAGTACGATGAGCATTATTAATTGTTGAATTTCGGTACAGGACGTCTCCCCTCCCTCCCCCGTAGCCCAACTCCCCGCCCCTGTCTCCTCCCGCCCCCTTCCTCACTTCCCCCCTTCTCTCCTCGCTCTCGATGACTCACACGGTCGAGCATAGCCACAGAAACACAAGCCGCGCGCAGTATGCTTGTGTGGTTGATGCACTGCTTACGTGTCAGTCTGTGCAGTGATTCGATGAGTAAAAATGAGCCAATCAGCGACGCTTCCGCCATAGGGGGTGATCACCGCCAGCATCCCTTGATCGGATCAGATGTAACGCCACAGGCACACACGAACAAAAATGGTCGAGCGGATCCCGTGTCAGTGAAGGACGCGCATACGTGTACTGTACGACTCGCTGTGCCGAACCGTGGAAATCCAATTCGGTTGTGCCAGAAGGGCCACGGCTGCCTCGGGGGATTGGTCTTCAATTTGCTGTCGAACGAAGTGAGGGCGATGCTGGCGGTGCTGCTGCAACCGAGCTGGCAAGCAAGCAAGCAAGCAATGTCTGTGGGGGGAAGTGGGATGCGCCCCCTGAAGAAAGAAACGATGGGGTAGGGGAAGGAGAATAACCACAACATTAAACTGTCACTTTGCGGGGCACTGGTCGCAGTTAGGGTTTCGGGTTCCGTTTAAAAATCGAGTATAGACGGTCCCAGTTTTAAATCATTGTTGTTTTTAGTTAAACGAGGTGCATTCATCTAATTTGGGAGTTGTTGAACACGGAAGACGTAGGGACAAGTCATCCACACCAGTGCATCCAAGCTTCGAACGTCCGCGTTTCTGTTTCGCTTGGCCCGCCTGTACTGAGGCCTTCTGAGGGCGGATCACGGTTTTAGGTACGTGGTTCGATTTATACGGTTCAGTGCGTTAGAAACGGGTTGAAGACAAATCTAAGCTTCCACCAACGCGAACCGTTCTGTTATCACGTTTTGACGTACTTGACCGCATCAATCGGACCAGGAAATTTTAAACGTGACCCGCCCTAAACAGAGTGATTTCTGGGGCTGGTTGTTTATGAAGGGTGGGATGCGAAGGGCATGGAAAGCATTGTTCGTGGCAGTACAACAGCGGCTGCTGTTGTACAGTCCGAGATCTGGCAGCTGCTGAAGATTCAATCAAGATACGGTACAGTTTCGTACAACAGTAATGAATCTGCATAACGACGAGGTTTACCGCCTTCGGTTTGGGAACATTCAGGAAGTCGTCGTTGTCAGCGTGAATGAGTTCGTTATTGATCACATCGGCAATGTTGGAAGACACAACTGTGACATTATTTAAATCCGAAAAAATCGTGGTGTATTTGAATCTGGGAAAAGCTAACATCCTTGAATCTGTATGGCATGCATTCATTGGTGTCTGGCCATGTAAGAAACTCTTGGATTTCCAGCTTGAAAAAAAAAGGAAGGAATGGCTAGGTTAGTTGAAAGGATTGGTTTCTATTGGGATTACGTGCTTTTTGACTGCATGGAAAAAGAGTTACAAAAAATAACGATTGTCCATTGTCCTTGTATTTCCACTTGAGATCTCTCATTAACGCGTTACCTGGACTGCTCGGGGTGGACACGCCACACATCCCCAGCTGCGTTTCAACACGACGTTTTCTTAGGGCGTGGGCCCAAACGGGTTTGATCGCGAATGATCTGATCGGGGCGGATCTGATCGGGTTGCTTGTGATCGTAGTGCCCGAGCCGCCCGATCAGAAATGATTTTCGGAGAAGTTTGGCAGCGCCTGCTCAGCAAGCGCAATACATTTGCGTGGCATTTTCGTCACCATTTTAGCGAGATTGACGACCAGGCTTCACCTGGCGAGAATCTTCGTTTCACTGTAAGTGCAACTGTGTAACTACTCGCAAGCATCGCTGGGTGCCCCGATCACAAGCAATCAATTGATTGCCTGTGATCGAGGAAAATCGACTCTGATCGGGGTTCAAATCGGGTCTGATCGAGGTTGGGCGATCAGCTGATCGCGATCAGCTGATTGCCCCTGATTGCCTGAATTTGGCTTCCAGGCTTCCTGGAAATTATTGATCGTGGCTGATCGAGGCGATCAAACCCGTTTGGGCCCACGCCCTTAGCCTTGCTCGGGGCCATTGCGACTGCTGCCGTTCCTCCCGCGAATCTTCACAGAGATTAGCTAGAAAGGAATTGGGAGGGCTCGGTGGCAAATAGGTAATAGTAAGAAGAGGACCGATAACAACGAGGCAAAGCCTTGACGTGAGACGAAGATCTGGATCGTTTGCCTTTTCCTCCGCCTCCGGACGAACCAAACATCGCGAAGTTCTGCGTTTTTCGCGCGCCTTTGTTGTTACCGTACGTTCAGTAACTCCTAAGCTTGTGCTGCAGCGTCACGAAAGTCGGCGATTGGCTAGCGACAGACGCATTAGGGTTACAATGCGGGGAGGGACAGAAGATTCGGTGCAGGAGGAAAGCAGGGGAAACGGGGGGGAAGCAGAGACGGAAGTTTCCCTCCCGGAAGGTCTCGTGCTGCGTGACCTAAACGAGGGTGACTATAACAAAGGTGGGTGGGTGTGCTTGTATGTGTGTGACTAGGTTCAGGCCGTTGATTCTGCAGATGAAATTTTGGTGTTGAGGGTGGGGGGAATGGAGGTGGGAAGAGGGTGGGGAAAGGGGTTTGGCGGAAGGTGGGGAGAGGCGGGGGGAGGGGTTGGGGGAAGGGGGCGAGAAGGGTTGCACAGTCGCGCATGTGTGTGTTTTCGCGTGGGTGAGTAGCTTTGTGCTTGATTGTCAGGATGCGTTTTTTGAGAATACTCAAAAAAACACACGATGGGTTGCACAGTCGCGCAAGTGTGTATTTATGCGTGGGTGAGTAGCTTTGTGCTTGATTGTCAGGATGCGTGCATATCTGGAGTCTAATTCTGGAGATAATCACGTGATAGTAGTGAATTGTTCAGACGTCTCATAAATTCACTTTTGTTTCGTGGTTGTCTGAATGTGTGCACCTCTGGAGTCTGATTCTGGAGTTATGTGCTTGCTGGGACCCGGGACAGGCGTTGTTCGCTTCGTTTTTACCATCTGTAATCGTTCTTGTAACCATCAGTAACCGGCGATAATTTCTGTAGCCCGGCTCGAGACATCCTGGCGGATTCACATCCATGCGATACCCCTTGCATGTGTGTGGCATGGCATGGCCATGTGTATGACACGTGTTGGCACATGGCGCGTGCATGGCATGTGCATGGCATGTGCATGGCATGTGCATGGCAGGGTACATGGAGCTCCTTTCGCAACTAACAACTATCGGAACAGTAACGGAGGAGCAGTTTAAAGGTTTGAACATCATGCTAAGTATGCCAATTCTGTCAATTATCGGTACAAGTGGATACACACATATGATGCTGTGCTGAGTATGTGAATAGCACTGACCATGCTGAACTGGCTGTTGTATCAACGACTTTTGAGGCGCCTCAAAAAGCGGCTTTTCAGGCGCCTCAAGAATGTGAATAGCACTGAAAATGCTGAACTGGCTGCTGTATCAGCGACTCTCTCGGCTCCCCATACCTGTTCCGTCTCCTGCATGTGTGACATCGATTTCTTGTAATTGCCAATACGTCCTGTCAACAACACCAATCATGCTGTCCCTGGGCCCTGACCTGAAGCTGGAGACTTTTGAGTCCACTCAAAAATCTCATGAGTCGATTTTTTAAAATTGCCAATACGTCCTGTCAACAACACCAATCATGCTGGATTACCGCCTCTTGAACACCAGTTTCTGTATTCTTAAATTCGGCTCCAGAAATTTATCAATTACAGTTGGATGTTGTATCAACGACCCCCTTTCTGCCCTGCAGACCGGTTCGCCATCGTGTCGCAACGCTCCGCGGATTATCGTATCGTGGTGCTTGAAGGTACGGCGTTCTAGTCAACGCCGCCGCGTACACTCACTCCCCTCTCACATGCTGCATGCAATCTTCCTCTGCCCCGCAAATTGGATCGCTCTCTTGTCTCCGCGCTCGTCGTTCTATCGCATCGTGGTGATTGAAGGTGAGGCGTTTCGGTCTAGTCAATGTGGCTTTTGAGCATCTCGCTTTTGAACAGTCTTAAAAGCATCGTGTGTTTCAACGTTTGTCGGGCTATCGCATCATGGTGCTTGAAGGTACGGCGTTCTAGTCAATGACGCCACATACACTCTCCTCTCACATGCTGCATGCAATCTTCCTCTGCCCCGCAAATTGGATCGCTCTCTGGTCTCAACGCTCGTCGGCCTGTCGCATCGTGGTGCTTGAAGGTGAGGCGTTTCGGTCTAGTCAATGAGGCTTTTGAGTGTCGTGCTTTTGAGAAATCTTAAAAGCTTAGTGTGTCTCAACGTTTGTCGGGCTATCGCATCATGGTGCTTGAAGGTACGGCATTCTCGTCAATGCTGCCGCACACACTCGCCTCTTACATGCCGCATGCTGCATGCATGCGCATTTCTCTCTGTCATTTTGGGGCCGTGCAAAGTGGGGTGGTTACCAGCACGCTGCTGACATCCCCCTCTTTCCTCTTTCGTAATTCTCCCTGTTTCTCTCTCGCGTTCCTCTCCCCTCACTCCTCTCCTCCTCGTTCCTCTCTTCTCACACCTCTCTCCCTGCTTCTACATTCCCAAAGGCGCCTCACAACAAGTTGAATCCTCCTACTGCGTCCCTATCCTTTCCTTTTTTCTTGCCAGACACGGTGAACAACAGACTGGTGGGCACGGGCACACTGCTTAGGGAGGTGTCTTTTGAGTCGACTCGAAAGTTTTCCTTCTCTTCCTCTCCTTCCCCTTTCTTGCCAGACACAGTGAGCAACAGAGTGGTGGCCACGGGCACACTGCTAACAGAGTTCAAGTTCCTTCGTTCATGTGGCAAGGTACATTCTTGCAGTCACTTTTGACAACTTTTACATGACCGGAGGGGCGGCAGCACTAGAACAAACACTCAAGCAGAAGAAGCGAGAAGAAACACTCAAGCAGAAGAAGCGAGAAGAAACACTCAAGCAGAAGAAGCGAGAAGAAACACTCAAGCAGAAGAAGCGAGAAGAAACACTCAAGCAGAAGAAGCGAGAAGAAACACTCAAGCAGAAGAAGCGAGAAGAAACACTCAAGCAGAAGAAGCGAGAAGAAACACTCAAGCAGAAGAAGCGAGAAGAAACACTCAAGCAGAAGAAGCGAGAAGAAACACTCAAGCAGAAGAAGCGAGAAGAAACACTCAAGCAGAAGAAGCGAGAAGAAACACTCAAGCAGAAGAAGCGAGAAGAAACACTCAAGCAGAAGAAGCGATAACAAACACTCAAGCAGAAGAAGCGAGAAGAAACACTCAAGCAGAAGAAGCGAGAAGAAACACTCAAGCAGAAGAAGCGAGAAGAAACACTCAAGCAGAAGAAGCGAGAAGAAACACTCAAGCAGAAGAAGCGAGAAGAAACACTCAAGCAGAAGAAGCGAGAAGAAACACTCAAGCAGAAGAAGCGAGAAGAAACACTCAAGCAGAAGAAGCGAGAAGAAACACTCAAGCAGAAGAAGCGAGAAGAAACACTCAAGCAGAAGAAGCGAGAAGAAACACTCAAGCAGAAGAAGCGAGAAGAAACACTCAAGCAGAAGAAGCGAGAAGAAACACTCAAGCAGAAGAAGCGAGAAGAAACACTCAAGCAGAAGAAGCGATAACAAACACTCAAGCAGAAGAAGCGAGAAGAAACACTCAAGCAGAAGAAGCGAGAAGAAACACTCAAGCAGAAGAAGCGAGAAGAAACACTCAAGCAGAAGAAGCGAGAAGAAACACTCAAGCAGAAGAAGCGAGAAGAAACACTCAAGCAGAAGAAGCGAGAAGAAACACTCAAGCAGAAGAAGCGAGAAGAAACACTCAAGCAGAAGAAGCGAGAAGAAACACTCAAGCAGAAGAAGCGAGAAGAAACACTCAAGCAGAAGAAGCGAGAAGAAACACTCAAGCAGAAGAAGCGAGAAGAAACACTCAAGCAGAAGAAGCGAGAAGAAACACTCAAGCAGAAGAAGCGATAACAAACACTCAAGCAGAAGAAGCGAGAAGAAACACTCAAGCAGAAGAAGCGAGAAGAAACACTCAAGCAGAAGAAGCGAGAAGAAACACTCAAGCAGAAGAAGCGAGAAGAAACACTCAAGCAGAAGAAGCGAGAAGAAACACTCAAGCAGAAGAAGCGAGAAGAAACACTCAAGCAGAAGAAGCGAGAAGAAACACTCAAGCAGAAGAAGCGAGAAGAAACACTCAAGCAGAAGAAGCGAGAAGAAACACTCAAGCAGAAGAAGCGAGAAGAAACACTCAAGCAGAAGAAGCGAGAAGAAACACTCAAGCAGAAGAAGCGAGAAGAAACACTCAAGCAGAAGAAGCGAGAAGAAACACTCAAGCAGAAGAAGCGAGAAGAAACACTCAAGCAGAAGAAGCGATAACAAACACTCAAGCAGAAGAAGCGAGAAGAAACACTCAAGCAGAAGAAGCGAGAAGAAACACTCAAGCAGAAGAAGCGAGAAGAAACACTCAAGCAGAAGAAGCGAGAAGAAACACTCAAGCAGAAGAAGCGAGAAGAAACACTCAAGCAGAAGAAGCGAGAAGAGAGAACAAATCGTTGGAGTGTAATGGGGCATCGGTGTAATGGGGCATCGGTGTAATGGGGCATCGGTGTAATGGGGCATCGGTGTGGTGGGGGAAGAGAAGAGGGGGGGCGGATGGAAAGGGAGGAAGCACAGCAGCATGAGCAGGGAGCACCTGAGGCAATGCTGGGGGCAACGCGTGGGGGCCACGTAGAGGATATGATGGGACACTGCAGCATGCACGGCACGGGCGCTGCATGATTTTAATCTCTCCTCCTCCCATCCCTTCCTCCTCCCTTCTTCAGGTGGGGCACACAGAGGACATAGTGGTGCACAGCAGCATGCAGCGATGCTCCATCCCTCCGCATCCCTCTCCATCCATCCCCATCCCTCCCAATTTCCCTCTTCCCCACCCCAGGTGGGGCACATAGAGGACATAGTGGTGCACAGCAGCATGCGGGGCAAGCACCTGGGGGCAAATCCTACCACCGTGATTCCATTCTGTTCCTCTCCATTTCCCCCTTCCCCCCCACAGGTGGCGCACATAGACTCAAAAGCAGTCCCCCCCTTCCCTTGAGTCGACTCAAAAGCTGAGTCGACTCAAAAGCAGTCCCCCCCTCCCCCCCCACAGGTGGGGCACATAGAGGACATAGTGGTGCACAGCAGCATGCGGGGGAAGCACCTTGGGCACAGGTGGGGAAAAGGGGGGATGAGGGAGCGTGTGAGGGGGGGAATCACAGCTGCATGCAGGGTTTGCTTTCTGCATTTCCCTTGCAGACTGCCCATGCCTTAGTGCATGCTAAACCCTAACTTTTGAGGCGCCTCAAAAGTAGGCTGCCCATGCCTTAGTGGATGCTGGACGCATTCACCTCGCTGGACGCATTCACTTGAGTCGACTCAAAAGCTGAGTCGACTCAAAAGCAGTCCCCCCCTCCCCCCCCACAGGTGGGGCACATAGAGGACATAGTGGTGCACAGCAGCATGCGGGGGAAGCACCTTGGGCACAGGTGGGGAAAAGGGGGGATGAGGGAGCGTGTGAGGGGGGGGAATCACAGCTGCATGCAGGGTTTGCTTTCTGCATTTCCCTTGCAGACTGCCCATGCCTTAGTGCATGCTAAACCCTAACTTTTGAGGCGCCTCAAAAGTAGGCTGCCCATGCCTTAGTGGATGCTGGACGCATTCACCTCGCTGGACGCATTCACCTCGCTCACCTTTTGAGGCGCCTCAAAAGTCTTTCACCACGCTCATCCTTGCACTTGTAGCCACAGAGTGCAAGACTACGTACGTCAACTCCTACACTGTTGGTTGAGACACACTACCCTGATCTCTCTCTTCACTACGCTACACCATCCACTTCATACGATGTTTTCGTCTACTCTCCCCTCTTTTGAGTTGATTCAAAAGTCACCTTCTTACTCCATCCACTTCATACCATTGTTTTCCTCCAGGCTACCGTCTCACTTCATTGCACTTGTTAACACTACCTCCACATCTATAAAAAATCCCCTATATTGTAGTGCAACAACACACTCCCAACACTGTACTTCTACACATACACTGTTAACATACTCATCACTCGACCACAACCTTTCGTACATGGATTTGCCTCCACCTTACCCTCGCACCTTACATGGAGCACCCTTACTGTACTTGCCCTTACCTTTATTTTCACCCGCCAGGATTATCCAAACACTCACCGATATCGCTAAGAAACAAGGTTGTTACAAGGTAACCTTCTCGCCCTTGCTTTCCTGTTGGTTGTCGTCTTCGTTCTATTCTAATGTCCCTTCCCGTTCTTTTACCACAATGTGTAAACCCATGCAGCTCTCTCCCCTCTTCCCTCTCTTTTTCTTTCCAGGTCATTTTAGATTGTGATGGCAAGAATGTTGATTTCTACAAGAAGTGTGGCTACAGTGTTAAGAATGTTGGCATGGCACTGTATTTCTAAATACCGTATTCCCCCGCATAGTAAACCCCCCAAAATTGAACACCCATGGGTGTTCAATTACGGTGGGTGTACTTAAAAATACACCAGTTATAACACCCCCGATTTTCCTGAAATTTTGAGTACACCCGCCACCTGATTTAAATGTAAAACGCGAGGCTTTTTCTAACGGAACTCCCTGTCAAGAGAAGCGCGTCACGCTGAAAGGCTATCACACAAGGCTGGGGGACCGCCTCCGATAGGTTTTTGCGCGTGCGAGAGGCCTGCTAGAGTCCGCATGACGTGGCCCAGACACCACGCGCAGTGCAAAGTCTGTTTCCGTTCGATTCGATACCTTGAATGTGAGTTCAGAACAGAAAACATGTGTTTTTTCAGTTAATATATAGTGTCATTACAGAACACCCATGGGTGCAGGCTTACACCCCCCCCATAATTAAAAACCCCCCTGAAGGGGGGGTAATTATCAGTACACCCTAGGGTGTACTATGCGGGGGATTACGGTATGCGGTAAGAACTTGCATCGGTGTATTTTTCCTCGATTATAGATGGCGTTGTTTCAAAGAGCTCGCATCATAAGACTACTGCGCACCACTAGCACATATTCCTGAAGAGTGCATGCACATCAATAAGGTATATGCGGTATTCATTTATCGCTACAGTATCAGCAACAGGTATATGAGGCATTGGAATGGCTATCCTACAACAGCTTACATGAAGTCAACTGCTGTGAGTCTGTGACAGTACTGCTGTGACTGATTCAGGTCGAGCTTGTATACAAGAGCTTAATGGCTTTTCTAGTCCCGATGCGGCACTACAGCAGCTCTCTCTAAAAATCTAAAACGACGCATACTGTACTGCATCGGCCATTACCGGCCCTCAACAAGGAATGGTTGAGGGCTTATTTGGGCTGAAAGTTAGGCTGAGTCTCAGGTAACCGTCAGGGTCTTGTTAGGGAGCCTAGCTAAAAGTTAGCTGTCACTTGTGGGCTAAGTGAAATGGTATTACCAGGGTCTTGAAGCATTAGCTCTCCTCTCTGCTGCGGCATCAGCATCTGAAGGTGTAGTGCAGTGATTGCTTGTGCTGTGGCTAAAGGCTCCATAGCTGGAGGAGTTGACTCGTCCGAGGTGTTACATGTTGTGAATGCAGCTCCAATCCAGGTGTTACGGAGCGGGGGATGTAACGAGGAAGCTCTTATATTGCCTGTTGGAGTGTCGGAGTATAATGCAGTTGGTGGGGAGGTGGTTAGATATCGGGAGGGGTGCAAGGTCAGTGAGTGGGTGTGCACAGATGTCCTCGTATGAACTTGTGAGAGGGAGGGAAAGAATGTGTATGTGTATTTGTACAGGTGTCTGCGTTACATCTTCATATACACCACTTACGCGTTATAAGGCACATCTCTGCCGTTGAAAGTGCCAGCCCACGTCCCACCAAGAACACTAGAGGCGTCCCACACAGAGGAGTACAGGAACACAGGCTTGGTGGGGTAGGGCCCTCCGTTCAGCTTGCTCTGCTGAACCACCCGCTTGACTTGCCCATCAATTTGCCAGCTATAAGGGAGAGGAGAAAGGAGAAGGATTGGGGAAAATGGCGAAATCAGGTACTTGTGAGGGGGAGGAAATTGAAGGAATCCTGGGGAAAAGCCTTAGATTTTGGAGTGGCTCAGTATCAATAGATTGGTTTCATAGTACCAAGAAGAACAAAAGGAGCACAAAGAAACACAAATGAAATTTCAAAATTAAGTTCTAAAATGGAGCACGTACTACATGAATGAGTGCAGAAATGTCTGTACGGTACAACGAAACCCATTCATTTCCTTCTGCGTTAGTAGAAATTCACAACTACACACGGCATTTTACTCTATCAACTCGCGCATGCACTTCCCGCTTCCATCCCGCCAACCTTCATTTCACTCACACTATTTGCCGATCGTTCCAGTAAATGACGTATTCGTGGAATCCCGAGGAGCAGTCATAGCCGAGCGGAATGAGCGCCTCGTGACCCCCCACGCCATTCACGTAGTAGTTCGTCTGCACACTCGTTTTATCGCGGCCCAGAAATTCAAAGTCTATCTCGTCTTGATCTTTGCTGCCTTCTAACGAGGATAGCTGGGGGGTGGGAGGAAGGGGGGCGGGGGAAAAGAGGGAAGGGTTCGGCAGAGTGAGGAATGAACTGGTAAGTGGCATCGTTTTGTGCTTGCTGGGTAGATCTCCTGTTCGGCACACTAATGAAGAAAGGTTAGAATGAACACTGGGTAAAGGGAAGAACCATAAAAGCTAGGCAAGACATGGAGTCTGAATCCGGAAAGGTGAGAAAGGGTACTGTGGCAGAATGTGTGGGTGGTTTGGGGGAAGAAAGGGCGGCGGGAAGGGTGGGTGGAAGGCACAGTCTTGTGTGATGGAAGTGGGCGCTTGTGTTGTTAAATGTTGTTCATGTGGTTCGTGCTGGTTATCTCGCTCCTGTTGTTGGTGTAGCTCATCTCGTTTATATTCTGCTTGACAACTCGCTGAAGCAACTCATGTGATTCATTTGACCTCACGACTTTTGAGGCGCTTCAAAGGTCGTGTCCCTTTATCTCGCTATGTCGCTCATCTCGTTTATATTTCGTTCGACAAGTCGCGCAAGAAACTCATGTGATTCATGTGCCCTCACGTCGCTCATGTCGCTCACATCGCTCACGTCGATCTTGTCGCTCTCGTCGCTCACGTCATTCATGTCGCTTATATAGCCTTACATAAAAGGACTGCACGAGGCCGTTCATGTCGCCCGCGGGGCATTTTATCTGCGCGCTGAAGATGCCAGACGGGTATTGAACCGTCGACCTCACGCGACTGCCGCCTGTAACGGGATGGTGAGACACAACAACAATTCAATCAGAAAAAAACAATAGGTCATGATAAATAAGGAGCCAAACGATGATCGCGCTAGGGGATAATAGAGCCTAGAGGTTATGGTAACTTACGGCAGCCAGTGGTGGTATCCACAACGATCGTCGCAGCGTTACCCGCCACCTTCGCAAACGTTTCGCAGTAGTCGATCGCGAGCGGCTGAACCGGAGAACCCAAGACTCCCGGCGTCGACTTCCCTGGCGCCCCGCTATCATCCCCAGGCGACTCGCTCGTTGGCTTGCGCCCCTGACCACCTCCGCCTCCGCCGCCGCCGTTTCCGCCGTCGGCCCGGTTGCGCATTTGCAGGACAATTTCCGTCGCCCATTGCATGGCGTTTCGGGTCAGCTGCCTTGCGCTGCTGCTTTTCGCGTCGATGCTGGGTGTCGACAGGCACGCGCCTAGCCCATCGGACGTGTATTTGAGCTTCCTGGCCGCACGATTGAGCTCGCCTTCCGCGATCAACGGCCGAGCTTTGTGCACCTGGAAAATGGATTTCGCTAGAATCTGGCTGCAGTTTGTCTTCTTCCTGGTCCGTTGTAAGGCCGTGGTGAGGGACGACTCGATTGTCTGGAGCTGCGTCAGCCACCTTTCTACGTATGACACGTGGCGGTTCGCGATTACACCGCCGCCGGAGTTGCGGAGGCTTCCGAGCCGCGCGGAGTTTATGGCGGCTCGGGTGGTCACTTCAATCTGTAACCGCTCCTCGGGGGATATCTCGCGATCGAGTTGCTCCGGCGTTATAACGGGGATTTTATCGTACGGCCTGTCTTGTACATGGGCACGTGAAATCACGACTAATAACGAGGCGGTTATTATCGAGAGCAACATTGTCGAGAAGCTGCGTCGTATCCAGGAATTTCTTCGAGCCATCAGCATCAAGCGCACTTGCAGCACATACGATAAAGCGATCGGAACGAGTAACTACAACGGTGTCTACTACCGAATGTAGGGCAGGAGTTTAAACCGCTAAGTTTGGTGAGGATGTCGATTACACGTGTGCCAGAGCGTACCAAGAATAGTAAGCGTCGCAAATGTACCCTAGGATGCAACGGGTACTCAGGATAGGTGACTTCTCAATAGTAAGGGTTCTCGGAGGCAGTCGCCGTAACTAACTTCTCAACAATTCCAAGAATGCTCGATTATTGGAAGCTCTCAACGGTTCTAAGGGTACTACTCCGCACTGCAAAACTCTGCGATAGCTCTCAAGCCAACACTGACAATATGAGGAGCACTCTTAGGACCACAGGACGTGGTCCGGAAACTCGTCGCGACGCGGTCGTGAATATTGTTCAACCCCCTAACGCTAGTCTGGAGTGGTATAAAGGAATGGGGACCAAGACTTGAGAGATGGGGATGATGGGAAGAGGTGGAACGTGGGAGTACTGCCAGTGGGCGCCTTGACGTTCTCCCCTTTGTAAGGAGTTCCTCCTAAAGCTACGGCGTCGGTAGGCACCTTCTGATACCTTGGCACTGTTACCCGAACGACGAGATTGACTTGCGCGAGTGAGATTGGCCGCGTGCTCACCAGCCATTGCCTCCCGTCATCTAAAGACCGCCCACAGGTCGCGTCGCGTCACAAGACACGACTCGCAGGTTTGCAGCTTGAGACGGTCAGCAGCGAAAGCAGCGAAACAATAAGACTATCCCTCCTGCACGTAACTCGTCGGATATTCTAGCGCCCCCATCGATTCTACCGATGGGACTTTTTTTGTAGTCCGTCCTGAGTCGCCTCAAATGTCGATCCTAGGGATGGGGCTTAATTGTCGTATTCGCTCGCAGCGCACTGTTGCGGCAGGTGAGCCTCAAATATTGGTCCAAGAGGTCGACAATGAACAGCGCCACTTTAAGTGCCTATGGGTGTGCGATGCGATGTGATGGGCGGAAGGGATCGACGAGAATTAAATGCGCGCCCGGCGAGCAGTGGAGAAGGTTTATCTCAGCGGTAATAATTGATTGATGTATGAAGGAACGAGCACGTAACTATGCGTTGGTGGGGTGCGGAGGAGGGGGGAAGAGAGAGTTAGGTAGGTCATGAATCCGAAGCGCGGATCGATGAGTAATCTGCTGGAGCAAGTTGGAGAGGAGCAGTGAAACGACGGCGGGAATCGGGGAACGCTCGCACGGGGAGCCAATCTTTGTGCGCTAATTCACTGTATTAACGAAGTGTTTCCGATTATGTCGACTACGCACTTGAGATGAGTAGCGACGGCGGGCGGGAACCCCTGCATGTAGATGCGCCTGAGTACGCTGGACGGTCCTAAAACGATTCCCGTGCTGCACTGTTTTATGAGGCGGGAGAGCAGGAGAGGAACATGGTCGGCGTTTGTTCTAGACCGATGGGGCTTTTGTCGTCAAACAGCTGTGTATGTGTGGCTCGTGTGACGTGTGTGCATTTATCTAATCTAATGCAATCGCGGCCGGCAAAACAAGTCGTGATGTTGATGTTGATGTTGACGTTGATGTTCCTCACAGCCTAGCTTGCTTCTTTGACGGATTTCGTGCAGATGTTGTGTGAAAGCATTTGCTTCCTCATTTCCTTCCTTCCTTCCCATCAAACATCGAGGCGCGTACGACTCGCTCCAGCGCCGTTGACAGCTATTGAAATCGAGCCGCCTAATTTACGTGGATCCCACTGCACCCGACTTCTGGAACTTCTAAATACAGTATGAGCACAAAAAAGCAGACCCAAGTGGAAAGAACAGCTGCACTCTTGCAAACAAACCTACACTCGGGCAGGGCCTGGAGTCACGGGCAGGTTTGAATTTCCACGACGATGCAATGAGCGGGAACTCCGGGTTGGTAACGGAAAGAGATCACCGTCCCCGCAACAGCCGGGAAGGCAAAATACGCAACATGGCCCTGCCATGTTACGAGACCAATTACGCAGAAGAAAATGGCACGTGAGATAAACTGTAGCGTTGTGCTACCAGAAGGCCAGCCCCAAGAAGTACCCAAAGGTAATTTTTGTTTATATATGGTGAAACAACTTCTTCATCATTCCAGTTTCAGAATAGCCAGGACTTCTTGCCTCGCAAGTTCTGAACACTACTTTCATCCTAGATACGTTGGAGGCATGATCTCCTCTCAACCAACTACCGTAGTTCTCAACCTCAACCACTTCATTCAATAACCATCCAGATCTGGTACGAATAGCTGAATGGGCTCAACGTGCTTGGCCAGGGACGAAGTTACTGGCAAGCCAATATTAAAAACAAGTGATAGTCCAACCTGGGTTCACTCAACCATTCAGCTCAGCCACACCAATTCAACTTTGGCCTTGAGTCAAGGAAACTTAAAAAACAAGACATGTTCAAAAGAAGAATCATGATATTCCAAGCTTGCTTCACTACACAAATATACGGAAACAGACAATCAGTAGGGTACTTCTAGAGACAATCACTCTTGTTGTCGCCCTAGCCCTCCCCAGAGCAGGAGCTCCTGTTACATCCTCTCATAAAAACCCCCCGCCCCCACACCCCTCGAACACTCAAGAAAGCACTACCCTCCCAAGAACCAGGGCATGAGGAGCCCTTCCGCGTTGACATAATTACTCTCTACACTCCATGCTACACGTCAGTGTCGCACCCTTGAAGTCTACAGCAAATAGAAAAAACCGAGCATGACCTACTCTTCGTCGCCCGATATCCTCATCGAGCGTTCTCCTGTCAGCTGGAAGTCGTTATCGCCACTGATGAACCCGCTACAAACGAAGCACAGTCCCTGAACACTACATTCCCCTACCGCACCTCTCCCGCACCGTTTCTTGAGACCAAAAACTCTTGCAACTGACTTTAGAACGAAACAAACACCCACCAAGTGTAGCGATTATTGGTTAGTGCTGTCCGAACGCCCCGGCCGTCACATTAACCTCCATTCCCTTTCCCAAAAGCGCGTCGCGTTCCCAATCCGATAGCTGGATCTCTTCGAGCGGGCCCCATATCTCGAGCGTCTGGCGGCCATTCTTGTTGTTGTTCTGCTTGTTGTTGTTGCTGCTGCTGCTGCTGCTGCTGCCGCTCTTCTTCTTAGGCTTCTTATGCTTCTTGGGAGGAGACTGGTACGTTGACTGGTCACCGGTGGGAGGCGGAGATTTCTTCTTATGCTTCTTGTGCGGAGACTTCGACGGTGACGGGCTGCCACTGCTGGGAGGTGGAGACTTTTTCTTCTTGGGTTTGCCGGGATGCTTCTTCTTCGGACTGGAGTTACCGTTGGAATTACCGTTGGAACCGCCGCTGGAACCGCCATTCGAACCGCCACCTCCTCCTCCGCCGCCGCCGCCGCCAAAGTTCACTCTCGACATATACGCCGCGCCAATATACCAGTTGGACGGTACAGCGCGGTTGACGGTCAGGACATCGCCGCTGACGGCCGTCAGCCGGAACGACAGCTCCTTGCCGCCGTACTTTTTGCTCTTGGAGTACGAAGCGCCCCAATTGTGATCCATAACGTCCCACGTGGTTCCGTCGCTGACTTCCAGCTTGTTGATATTCCCCGGGCCGGCAACGTTAAACACGAGCACTTGCAGGTAGTACGGGTTGCCCGTGAGCATAAACGCGACGCCGCCGTTCTTCTTGCACGGCACGCGCCGCATCTGCGTCTGCAGAATCCCCGCGCCGCGCACGCTCGACAGCACCCCCCACGCAGCTTCCGACATGTCCAGGTGATGCTTCGGCGGGTTACACACGCCGTTACCGCCGGGCGGACAGCTGTTCGTGATGGTAACCGTTACCGTTTTTCCGGAACACACGTTCTTGCCCGGGACTGCCGGGGAACCCAGACACTTGACTTCGAAACACGCGCCGCACGCGTTGCCGTTGTCGAAAAGAGCGTAAGACGCGGCGGCCGTCATTAATCCGTACCCCGTTTGGAACATGTTGCCGTACCCGCACGCGCCGCCCATGGTTCCCGACCCGTCGGGCTCGCCGTAAAACGTGGCGAACGAGCCGTAATAGCTCCCCATGGAAAACCCCTGCGCATATGAGAATCCGTCGTCTCCAGCTTGCACCACCCCGCTAAGGATATCGGTAACGTTGCCCTGGGTAACCCCATTCACCATGTTCTTCGCAGCAGTCTTGAGGATGTTCGTTAGGGCTGGGTTGTTCGGCGAGGACGAACCAGCAGGCGGTTTGCGAGGCAGGGCCATACCAGCAAGGTTTCCCACTTGCGTGCTTAACGCTGCCGGAACGACGGTTTGCCCTGCGCGGAAGGCGTTTTGCGCCTTGACCGCCGGAAGCGGGCCGAGATTGGCGGGCTGATTGGAGAGCTGTAAGATGTACCGATCTGGCGTGACGCCATTGGACGACGGTGGGAGCGTTGCAGCTGCGGGGCCTGCGCGCCGAGTTTCGGGCGGCTGTTGCGATGAAGACGAGTTTACTAGACCTAACGCTAAGACTAACCCTAGAACCAGCGCCACTCTACCTCGGCGATTCATAATGGGCGTACTCTCATCCACTCATTCCGTGCCTCCAAGCAGCCAAAACTTAGTCAATCCTCCACGAAAGTAATCGAGAAACGTGTTCGAACACCTTGCTGCTTGCTGCTGCGTACTAGAAAGGGCAAGGGTGTGCCTGTAGCTACGGGATGGAGCTGAGAAAATGGGCCCAGTGGAAGGGAAGTCGGCGGTAGTGACGGCTGGGTGGGTCGCAACGGGGTCGTTGGAGGAAGAGACGGAGGGAAAATTAGGGTGAAGGCACTGAGAAAGGGCGGAGCTTGGTCGGCAGTGGGGTGGGAAAGGGAGGGCTAATGGGCTGGGCTGCTTTGCTGTTAGTGAAGAGGGAGCGCTAAGCGGGCAGTAGTAGCTCGGTTGAGCCCTTTGTCAGTGATCGACGGGCGCATGTAATCGTTTCATGCATGACCGTCCAACTGGCAGCACGAAAGTGCGAGTTGGGAACACCAAGGGCGAGAGGCAAGGTTTGTGGACCGAAGGGCATTCGTCACCGTGGCGCTAGGGTTGAGTTTTCGTGAGGTGGGAGCGCGTGTGCGAGACCAGAGATGCTCGCGTTATTGCGTTTTGGTTGACGCAATAAAGAGCTGCCTGCGCAATCGGCTGGCTAAGCCTGCCACGCTTTGGGACTTGGGTCAATTACGAAAAAAATCGAGCCGCGGGGATGAAAGGGGTTTCTAGTGATGGGCGGGCCTTGGTACCCCCTCATTCATTTGCGCCAGCTGCGGTGAGAAACGAAATCCGTTTTCGTTGTACTTCTGGTTGCACTTGGTTGGGAGAGTTGAGCTTGCTGTGCGGAGGCTTCAGCTCGGTTCAGAGGGAGAGGTGTTGAATTGATGGGGGTTGCAGGGAAATGTTGAATTGGGCGATTTGAATTAATTTCGCGATTCGAGTCTGGATTCCACGTTTCGCGCCCAGCCCTTGCTTTCCTTCACTGGGAAACTTTTTTGTTTGAATCTTGCCTGGGTTGGTGGCTAGACGCTGCTGTCCAGGGCAGGAATTACTTGAAACGAACGCGGTCTGTTGCGTGCGACTCGATAGTGAGCGCTGCGACGGCTGGAGGACCATGACATCCAGTAAACGGATACTTTTTGTGTCACGTGACGACGCACGAGGAGTGCCCAACCCAAGCAGTGGCGATTCGCTTAGCGAAGGAAAGTTTCGCGGGGGAGACAATAGGAAGGATTGATGTGATTTGAGCGCTGCGCTCAATCTGGCTCTCAAATGCGACACGGGCTATGCCAAATCGCACCAGGCCTATTTCAAAGAAGGTTCAGTGCAACAGTGCCTACAGTTCGTGAGTGTCAGGTTACCACGCTTCGTACAGCCGTGTTCTTGCTCGATCTGAATTCCTGTAACAGGCTGAACCATCCTACAATATATGCTGCCCAAGTGGGTGAAACTTTCGATGCCTATTTTCACAGAAAATCATAGATATCTGGTAAATGTCTCATGCAAACACAAATGGTAAAACTTCTATAAAGATGATAACACTGAGCTCGAAATCAACCACAAACGAGTAATCAGGATAGAAACTATGACTTCTTATAAAGTGAAGTGAAACCTCGGCAGTGCATCCTCGCTTTGTTTCATCCTCAAGCCTCGGTTGGGAAGTATCTGGTATGCCTTATTGGTTAATTCTGAACTCAATATTCCACATAATTATCAGCCCACAAGAGGAAACGAATTCGGACAACTCTAAAGACGGTAAATCGAATGCAAATAACTATGTAAAGTGAAACCAGCTGCGGCCACTTCAAGGGACGAATGTCGGAGCAGTCCCAGCATTTTCTAAGCAACCACTTATTGATTTATTCAAGTTTTATGGCTTGGGTCAGCAAGGAGTTCCCCAAGATACGGTAAGTATGGTACTCAGTGAGCGAACGGGAGGAGTTGGCCCAGGATTCATGTTGGAGACAGCTGCGTGTACCCGCACACCCAAATCAAGTATTTCAGCAACTGTTGCTCAATTCGTTATTATCACCACTCATCATGTTCACAAACTCTGAGAAGCACACTCGGCCATCCCCGTCCGCGTCAACCCTGCGAATCATCCTCTCGCATTCCGCCAATGAAACGTCTCCGTCGTCGTTCTCTTCGCCAGCACCAATTCGCAAAAGCATCTCGCGAAGTTCGTCAGGCGTGATGTAACCGTCGCCGTTTTTGTCGAACGAACGAAACGCCGCGAGGAGATCGTCCATAGACGCGGAGTCAGAATCGGGCGAATCCACGACCGCCATGTCAGCGTCGCCAGCCGAAGCCAAGCAAATCTCGCCAGCCCCAGCCTCGTTTCCGTATCGAGGAATTTCCAATTCTTCCATGCTGCTTCCGCGACTGCCCGTGCTGCCGCTCCTCCCGCTGCTAATCCGTGAGCCTGCGGCAACGCGACCATAAGTAACGCCAACACAAGCTTTGTTCACGGCGAGAAACTCGTTAAAGTCAACGAATCCGTCACCGTCAGTGTCTGCTTGTGCCATCATCCTTCGCGCCATGTCATCCGGTCGTGTTTCGCCCAGGCTCGCAAGAACTGAGGCCAACTCAACGGTTGAGATTCGCCCGTCGCGGTCCCGGTCCATAAGATTGAACACGTGGCGGATATCGACGGCAGAAACGCCGTGAATCATGTCGATGAAAGGTCTAGATGGTTGCGCGGATGTCCACCCAGTCGAGGTTGTAAAAGCGGCCTTGACGTCAACCATAGCGCTCGGGAGGCCTGCTTTTCTGAACGAAATCGTTGGAAAAAATTACTCTAAATGAACTAATGAGAAAGAAGCGAGTTAAGGCGTGACAGGAGGGCGGAACTCTGACGAGGGAGTTATTGTGAGATTGCGTTTAGCCGTCAATTGCGGAAAGAAACGGGAAAGAAGAGGAGGTGGAATGCATTTGTGGGATGGAATGGAATTGTTGCATCGAGGGGGTGACGCAGCGCTTGTGAAGTGACGCGTTTCCCCCACAACGAAGGAGAAGCTGGGGCTGAGGCAAAGAGGGAACTGGTTGAAGGAGGTGTTGGATTGGTGCGAAGGAATGATGGTGGGGTGGTTCTGGTTTGGACACAAGGATCTAGGTGTTAACATGAAGTTAATATGTATATCTAGGGTACTTAAAGCATTACCATGTTCCTCTTTGCGAATGCTTAACCCGAAAAATGTCTCTACGAGGAACACAAACCAGTGCATTTTTAGGGACTCGATTTCTGGGTGGTACGCATGACCTGCTTGGTTTTCCAAGGCATTTGTAAAAACCATCCCTCTCGAATCTGGGCAGTGCCCCATGAGCAGCCGCAACCGCGCATCACTCCAGGTCAATCCCAAGAGCTGACTGTATATCGCTTTCAGCCGTTCAGATTGGTGGATCGACGGCAAACAATTCGCCATTTCATGGCGTCATTGCTTCTTCTTCCCGCGTGCCCCTCCGGTTGGTGGCACCCTCCTTCTCCCCTCCCCCCACCCACTCACTCCCCCTCCCCTCCCCACCCCAACCTTTCCCAGGAGTGTATGCTCTCCTTCCCTACCCAACTCACCTTCGGCCCCACCTTAGTTTCTGTTCATGAGTCGTCACAGCACAGAAGGATGTGTCACTCTGTACAAGATTGAAGACGACAAGAAGATGGTGAGTTTGCCACCCAATCAGCTCAGTCCGGCATGCAGAAGCAGGTCACAAAAAACCGTTATATTTGCTCACTTTAGTGAGCCAAGACCTGAAAATGCGCATGGCGGTTTCACCGTGGAGCAGAGATTGATGCTCTAACAACAGCTCTGTTAAACGTTAGAATCCAACAATGTCGTGGCAAAGCAGACAATCGAAGCATACGCAACACTATGCACGCGTAATCATACTTTCCTGTCAAATCTTTAAACATTTTCTTCGTTCTATGTATATCTTCCTGAATCACCTGGCTAGCAAATCATGCGAGCATCCGCATGTTTCTGAGAAGATCATGCGCTATATCCTCGAGTAACCGACTCGTGATGTTCACTTATGTGGTACAATTCATGGTTATCCCACATGCACGACCAACCGTGTGCCAAGAGCAAAAACACTATGACGGAATAAAGTTTTCCACTTGGCCCAACCTGAGAAGGTATATCCCTGGACCATTGATAGTATAGTTTCCGCCGAGGGGTGGACTGTGGGGGATCAGAGGAGGGAAAAAGGGACGAACAAAACACACACACACACACATGCTCATCTGATTTGTGAATGGCATGGCATGGCACAGATAGGGTTGCATTGCAACACAAGAACACTTGCTCTCGCTCCCATTCATCTCACCCTAAACTCACACTCCACCTCCCAGCAGCCACCCATCCAACCATCCATCCATCCCTTCCCACCCATGTATGTATCCCACCATCAACCATCCATCCATTTCTCCCACCACCACTCAACCACCCACGCACACATCACCTACCCCAGAACCCACCTGTCCCAGTCCGAGCCTCCGTTGTTGGTGACAAATTCCATTGCAGTCACTGGAAGTGTGATCACCTGGGGGAACACAGGGGGAGGTGGGGGTGGGGGGGGAGGAGGAAGAGACATCTACTTAAGGCCGAGATAGAGGAAAAAGGTTTCTGTTGTTGGTAAAAGATTCATTGCAGTCACCTGCAACGAACGGGAGAGAATGGAGGGGGCGGGAATGGGAGAGACAGACTGTGGGGCGGGGAATGGAGAAGCAGAGGCTGACATACTATCACATTGAGAAGCACTCAACTTGTCTTTGAGCATTCTCAAAAAACAACCACCTTGAAAAGAGGGTGACATGCTCTCACCTTGAGAAGCAATCACCTTAAGAAGCACTCACCTTGAGGGGCAGTCCATTCGAGCCAATGAGAGGCGAATCTGACATTCTCGACCCCGGCACATCAGTCCAACCGGCGCCGTCCGCACTGAAGTGCACAAAAACGTCCTGCCACCCCGTCTCGTAGTACAGCGTCACTCCCGCCGCCCGCTCCTCCTCCTCCGCCACCCACTCCTTCTCCTCCGCCGCCCGTTCCTTCTCCTCCGCCGCCCCGTCCGCTTGCTCCCCTTGTCCCTCCTGCCCTTTGAATTCCTCTCCTTGTGCCTCCTGTTCTTCCTTTGAAGCCCCCTCAGAAGATGGCAAAGACGGAGAGTCGGGATCTTCCCTTACGGTACTCTCGTGCACCTCTTCTGGCCCGCTGCTCTCCTGCTCTCCATGCTCCTGCTCTCCATGCTCCTGCTCTCCATGCTCCTGCTCTACTTGCTTCTCCTCAACCACTGCCCCACCCTCCTCTGCCAAATCACTGCCCTCTACTCCCACTGCATTCGCCTCTTCTACTGTCTCCCTCCCTTCCTCACCATCTACCTTCTCTCCATGCTCCTCTGCTCCCCTCTTTTCCTTCTCCCTCTCCTCCTCTACGTCCCTCTCGTTCTCCTCCTCCTCAACCCCCCTCTCCTGCTCCTCCCAGCTGCTCCCTCACTCTCACCCGTACCTTCGGCCACCCACCATCCCACGTTCACTGCTACCTACCTCCCACCATCCACTCCCACCCTCCTCGTCCGTACCCCCCTCTCGCCTCTCCCCACTTCTCTCTTCTCTCTTGCATCCCCTCCTCCCCCCCACCTGGTTGCCCATGCTCAGGCTCACTCACCCGCACCCTCCCACTCCCCTCCTCTCCACTCCCCTCCTCTCCGCTCCTCTCCTCCACCCCACCTGCCCCCTCCTCGCCTGCTTCACCGCCACCAATCTGCACGTCAGCATCTTCTCGTGATTGGCCCACGTCAGCCTTCTCTTCTGATTGGTCCACATCATCACCCTGTGGAACAGGGACCTCGATTAGCCGTCCTTCCTTCTCACTCTCACTCTCCTCCTCTCCATCCTCCTCTTCTACTAACCCCTCCTTCTCCCTCTCCCCCTCCAGCAATCTCCGCCTCTCCCTCTCCTCCGCCTCCCTAGCCTTCTCCTCCTCCTCCTCAACCTTCCTCCTCTCCTCCTCCCTCTTCCTCTCCTCCTCTCTCTTCCTCTCCTCCTCCTCCTTCTTCCTCCTCTCTTCCTGCTCCCTCCTCTCCTCCCCAAGCTCCACCAACCGCCCATCCTCTCTCTCCTCATACACACTCCACTCCCCCGGCGGACCCTCCTTCCACCACCCAGCCCTCACACTCCCTCTACCACCCTCTCCCTCCCCCTTCTCCCCGCCCTCCTCCTTCCTCCCCGCCTGCCCCGCCTTCCCGTCTCTTTCCCCTCTTACCCCCGCCCCTTTCCCGCCCTCCCACCCAGCAATCTCCTTTTCCATAAGCTTCCTCCCCTGCCTAGTCCACGTCTCCACATCAAACACAAGCTCCTCCAATAGCTGAACCCCCAGCTCCACCTTTCCACCAATCAGCGCGCCTCTGATCTCCATCAGCCCGCCCAGGAGCCCCTCCAGCTTCTGCTGCATCATCTCAAGACGACACGTCAGCATCTGTGCCCGGATCTCTATGGACTTCTTATCCTTTCTCAGCTTCGCGATTTCCCGCCCTAACACGTCAGCAACGCGCTCTAGCCGCACGGAGGTGGCCTGCTCCGCCTCCTCCGCGCGCGCTACAGCCGCCTCTAGGGATAAGATCCGCATCATCGCGTCCGTCAGGCTCATGCCACGTGTCATCGCCTCCACAGGCGCCGCCAACGAGGCAGCGCCGCCCACAAAACTCATGCCATCTCCCACCCCTCGTCCTCCTTCCCCCGCGTCCCCTACCACTTCTGCTGCTGCCCCGGCTACTCCCCCTGCTCCCCCTGCTCCCCCTGCTCCCCCGGTTCCCCCCGTTTCCCCCCCGTCGTTCCGCCCTGCTCCCGCTCCCCCGAGCGTGCCTTTCCTAACGAGCGCGTCGAGCGTGGCAACCATGGCGGCGCGCTCCTTCTCCCACTCCTCGCGCCGCACGCGCAGCTCCGTGTCCTTAATCTCCAGCTGCGCCAGCAGCTGCTTCGTGCGCCGCCGCGCGCGCACCAGCTCCGCCTGCACGTTCCCCACCGCTGCACCAACAACCGCTTGCACGTCATCTACTGATAACCGCCCGCGGATGGACGCTGCTAGCTCGTCAGCCTGAGGGGGTTGTGAGGGAGGAACAGAGGGGGAGAGGGAGTGAGGGAGAGGGGAGGTGGGAAGTGAGTGAGGGAGTGATGGGGTGAGACGCCTGCGCGCGCGCACCAGCTCCGCCTGCACGTTGCCCACCGCCGCGCCCACCACTGCTTGCACATCGTCCACTGAGAGCCGCCCGCGGATTGACGCCGCCAGCTCGTCCGCCTGGGGAGTGGGGGGTGCGGAAGGGGAGGGGGTTGCGGAAGAAATGAGGGGCATTGAGGGGTTGCCCACCGCCGCGCCCACCACTGCTTGCACATCGTCTACCGAGAGGCGCCCGCGGATTGACGCTGCCAGCTCGTCCGCCTGTGTGACGCGAGGGCGGAAGAGGGAGAGAGGGAGAGCGAGGGAACGAGGGACAGGGAGAGAGGGCGTGCGGGATGGAGGGAAAGAGGGAGGGAGGAAAAGGGTAGTGAGAGAGTGAGAAGGTTTGGCCACAACCGCACCAGCTCCGCCTGCACGTTCCCCACTGCTGCTGACTACTGCTTGCACGTCGTCCACCGAGAGGCGCCCGCGGATGGAAGCTGCCAGCTCGTCCGCCTGATGGGTGGGAGGACGGAAGGAGGGGCGCGGAAGGAGGGGCGCGGAAGGAGGGTAAAAAAGGAGGGCGATGGGGGAAGAGGGACAGTGAGGGTTTATCACCGCAGCCCCCATTGCCACCACTAACGCCCCAATACCCGTTCTCACCTCCCTTCCCAACACACCCGATTCTCCTTATCCCCCTTTATCCCATTACTCCATTTCCCCCTTTCGCCACATACCCCCCTTTCCAACCCTCCCCCTTTCCCCCCCATTCCCCCGCCCCCCGATCACCTTGCTCTGCAGCCGGCGGCTCTCCTCCTCCAGCGCCTCGTCCGCCGCCTCTAGCAGCGACCCCTTGGCGCGCACCTCCCCCACCAGCCGCGCCAGACTGCTCCCCCTTCCCTCGCCGCCCGTCTCCTCCGCTTCCCCCACACCCGCTTTCTCCTTCGAAGGGGGGATTTGGCAGAGGCGGAAGGGGCTGTGGCGGAAGCGGAAGCGACGGAGGGGGAAGTGGCGGAAGGGGAAGTGGCGGAAGAGGAAGTGGCGGAGGGGGAAGAGGCGGAAGGGGAGGCTCGAGACGACGGGAGCGCGTTGGACGAGCGGGAGGCGCGGGAGGGTGGAGGGGAGAGGAGGGCGCGGAAGGCTTGGGAGAGGCGGTCGGAGAGACGCGCCCAAAGGGAGGGGAGGGCGGCGGCGGCGGCGTTGGGCGCTGAAGAGGATGATTGTGCTGATGATGGCGATGGTGGCGGCGATGGCGCTGGTGGTTGTGGTGTTGTGAGTGGTGATGAGGATGCAGGCGCTGTTAGTCCCAGTTGGGAGGCGTTCGCTTCCATATCCGTGGCCATGGAGGAGAGCTGCGGAGGGGAGCAGAAACCGAGGGGGGACGAAGGGAAAAAGGTGGACAAAAATAGGATGATTGCTCTGATGATGGCGATGGTGGTTGTGGTGATGCGAATGGTGATGAGGACGCAGGTGCTGTTAGTCCCAGCTGCGAGGCGCTCGCTTCCATATCCGTGGCCATGGAGGAGAGCTGCCATGGGGAGCAGAGAACGAGCGACGAAAGGAGAAAGTGGGGAAAGGGGAAAGGGGGAAACGAAGGAAATGACGCTTAAAAGAAATGGTATCCTGGACAAAGTTGACAAACAGCGAACACGACTTGGACATGTTGACTGCCTGGCTGACGGCTGGCTGGCTGATTGGCCGGCTGGCTGAATGACCAGCTAACTGACTGACGGCTGGCTGGCTGATTGGCCGGCTGGCTGAATGACCAGCCAACTGACTGACTGACTCACTCACTGACTGACTGTTGATTGGTTGAATGGCTGCCTGACTGACTGACCGGATGACTGACAGTCTGGCTGACCGAATGATCGGCTGACTTCCTGACAGCCTGACAGGCTGGACTGAACGGATGGCGAATTGCCTGACTCGCTTGCTGGCTTGCAAGGATGACAGACTGGCTGACTGACGGACTATCGGACTCTGACTGGCTGGTTGACTGACTCGCTCACTGGCTTATTGTCTGGATGATCGCCTGGCTGACTGACTGCCAGACCTGGTCCTTTATATTCGCAGTCAAAGATCGGTACAAACATAGGCACAACCATAGGTACACCCAGCATGAACCTCACCGTTACTGACCTGTTCCTGCACTCGGCGGCGGATCTCCGTCATGGAACGAGAGTCGGAGGAGGACAGGACGAGCACATCAGGGACACTGACCAGCACAGGCACTGACCAGCACAGGCACTGACCAGCACAGGCACTGACCCTCACCGTTACTGACCTGTTCCTGCACTCGGCGGCGGATCTCCGTCATGGAACGAGAGTCGGAGGACGAGCGAGGCTGGCGGGGAAGTGGCGATTGGAGGGCAGGGATGGGAGACGCACACAACACACACAGAGATGAATGGGGGTGAACGAGCACAGAGGAACACGAATGAAGTTGACGCGTGCTCAACATGGGAGTACGGTCAAGGTAAGGATGCCCGTACATTTCAACCGCAGCACAGAAGCGCAGGTAAGGACAGCGAATAGCAGTCGAGCCACAGGAAAAAGAGGGAGAAACCAAGCGAATCGCGTACACGAAATCAGTTACTTGCCACGGATCGGAACTTCTTCGTTGACGCTGACGTGTCTTCATCTTCGGGCTCTTTCGTCGAAGGAGGAGAGGCGGAAGAGGACGACGAGGTTGGAAAGGAATCCGTGGAAAAGGAAAAGGTCGAAAAAGGGCCAGTCGCAGCGGGGCGATCGCCGGCGACGACCTCGGGCTCCTGCGACGACGACTGCGACGATTCAAGAGGCTCCTGCGACGAGAGGGCGTCGTGGACGAAATACGGCGACGGGAGGATGGAGGAGGAGGCGGAACGCATGGGGGGTTGCGACTGCGTCTGCGACTGCGACGATTGCGAACGAGACGGCGACGACGGCGGTGATGACGACGGCGACGGCGGCGAGTCGGAGAGATAGGAGGGAAGGGAGAGGCGGATAATGTTGTGCACAGAGTTGAAATCCCGTCGCAGGGCTTTAAGATTCGCTGCAATCTGAACCGGCACGCGACCGGACGACATCGATCCTTGCGACGCCATTACTTGGAGAGCTTGCGCTCGCTCTACTAAGTGATCGACACGTGCTCGAATCTCATTGGCTGGCCGAAGCGGCATCGGCTGCTGATTGGAGGACGAGTCTACTGAGCCTCCGTTGCAGTCGCTGAGTTCGGGCTGTTGCGACTTTTCTAATCGCCGGCCACCACTAGATGGACCGGCGGACGACAATTGCGACCAATGCGACGCCTGCGACGTTTGTGACAGTTCGTTCCTACGGATCTGCTTCTGTAGCTGCTTGATCGATTTCGCCAAATCATCAATCTCTTGCCGCGCCTGATCCACCGCCGACGCCGGAGGCCCTGCCACGTCAGCTCGTATGGATCGGAGAACGGGAGATCCTGACTGAACGGAAAAGGATGACGGTAACCGGCGAATTCCCGTCAACCTACCGTTCCGTAACCAGCGGCGTTTGGACGGCGAGGATGCGCCCGTTGCTAAGGGAATCGCCCGTTGATCTACCGCAGCGTGGCTCTTATGCGTATGGCTCTGCCATGCCGTGACGCCAGGAGCGCCATAACCAGATCTAAGAGTCGGGCAGGAGATCAACCAATGCTGTGCTGCCATTGTGGACAAGCCGGCGCGACGGAAAGGGGTTCAAGAATCAACTCGCATTAGTCGAGTACCAGCACGATGAAATCACGACGCTTGTTTGGAATCCACAGCTCGGAAGAGAGCGGTTTGGAAGGAGAACTCTCCGCCAACTAAGGGCGACACAAAAAAACGACTTCTTGTATTACTGAATTCTACGCATTATCATTCCACGAAATTAGAGAAACTCAGGCACGAGACATGGGGAGGAGCTAACGAAAAGGCATGGCTTGAGGGATCGATAGTAATGAGCAGAGTTTAGATGGTGGGAGGAAAATGAGCAGGTAAGGCGCAGGTCATTTCAAACGAGTCTGGGATTCTGTGCCTTTCTTGTTCTTTGCCCCTGAATTCAACGGTCTAAAGTGGTGAACATGAATCACCGTAATTGACCCTGAATCGCCGCATTCAACCGTGCTTTACACTCGTTTATGACTTTCCTTGTATGCCAAGATACCTGCGACGAGAAAGCATGACCAAGTTGCTATCGATTAGGGGTTGGGAGCAAGATGCTATCGATTAGGGGTTGGGAGCAAGAGGCGGATGGAAGCGGTGGAGGGCGGAGGAAAGAGGATTCAGGGGATAGGCGGGAAGCATGGGTGGCCAGAATTTGTCCGTTTGGAGCCACATCGGCAGACCCAAGATGCTCTGGGGCGCGCGATGAACGGTGGGGAATGAGCGATGAGAGAATCTAGACGAAGCGCACATTACGGGAGTATCTGGGGCAACGGCCGCCAGCTGGTCCTGGAAAGTGCCACTTGTGCGCTGGCTTGATTGGATCTTTTCGGACGAATCAGACAGCTCCTCCAAGGGGTTTGGCAGATCATCGAAGAGCAAAATCCACGGACATTATTGAAGTGAAATTGGTCAATATTGCGTAAACACGTGTGAGAACTCAAGCATTCTTATATTGTTACAAAAAAAGGGAGTTTAGCATACACAAACCACGTACTTTTGTACCACCAAAAGGTCCACTAATCTCAACTACGACTCATGCTCTTGTGTGGGATTCACCAAAACCGTGGCTCGCACAGCCACACGGTGAACCCCACGCACGAAAAAAACAAAACCAAACCAAACCAAACCAAAACTTGTGGGCTACGTGACGCGAAGACGACACAGCCTCCGGCAATCATACAGCAGCTAAGCAGATGCTGCAACAAAATTGGATGCGGAGGAAATGCCATTAGAGCAACCCCCTCCACCATGGTTAGACTGCACCGAAGCAGCAGCAGCACCGGCACCACCAGCACCACCACTACCAATGCCGCTGGCACCACCAGTAGTAGCAAGAGGCGGCTTCATGGAGGGGGAGTGAGTGAGAGGAGAACCTCCCTTGGATGATCCTCCTATCAGCACACCGCCGTCCGCCACAGCTGGCAACAAGGAACCTCCTGCAGGAGCAGCAACGGCGGCAGGAGAAGCAGCAGGAGCAGGAACCGCAGCAGCAGGAACGGCTGCAGTGGCAGCAGCAGCAGTGGGAGCAGAAGCAGCAACAGTGGGAGAAGAAGCAGCAGCAGCAGCAGCAGCAGTTGCCCCCAAATCCCGTGCCACTAGCGGCTTTGCATCCGGGGCAACTACGCTCTCCACTGCACTCTCCCCATGCGCCTCAAACCCCGCATGCACCCGCAGCAGCTCACACTCCAGTCGCGCTACATCCATGTCAGATTCACAGCCTTCGGGGTTGCAGCCTTCCATGTTGGGGAGATCGACTTTCGCTGATGCAAAGCAGCTAGTGGGAGGGTCGGGGCTCTCTGTGTTGAGGGCGATTGAACCCGGGGTGAGGAGGGGCGGCAGGAGAATGGACTCGGCACCGTGTGCCACATTCGAGCTCACCAGCAACAGGTAGTCCGCTTCGCCGCGACTCGGGCGCAGTGGGAGCGGAGCAGCTTCTAACGAGGCAGCTTGTAGAGAAGCAGGCTCGGTGGGGAGGAGCATGGACTCGGATGTTAGTGCGCCGGAGTAAACAGGGCACAGTGCCGAGTGCTCTGCTGCTGGAGCGGCAGCACAGCCTCTCTTGACCGAGGCAGCAGCTGTTGCAAGTATAGAAGCAGGTGCAGAGGCTGCTGCAGAGACAGACACACCCGCAGAAACAGCAACAGCGGTGGCAGCAGTGCCACTGGCACCGGTGGCAGTGCCAGTGGCACCAGTGGCAGCAGCGGCAGCTGAGCAGTCAGGCTCGTCACCAGCTGCTGCCACGACAACCGGGACTGGAGCGGAAAGCTTGGCTTCAGGTGCCAGCTCAGGTGAAACAACAGGTACGTTCACAGCCGCTTCTCCAGTCGCCGTCTCCCCTGTGTGGGAATTGGTTTCAAGAGGGTCTGGCTTTAACTCATCCACTGCCTGTCTCCCATTTAGTCCCTCACACTCCACAGCTACACTACCCGGCTTCCCTGTAGCCCCACTAGCCGCCTTGACTGTTGCCGCACTAGCCACCTTGACTGTTGCCGCACTAGCTGTCTTGACTGTAACACCACTAGCCGGCTTGACTGTGGCAACACTCACAGGCTTGCCCCTGCTCCCTCCCCCATGCCCAGGCACTTTCCTTAGCGAGAATCGCACCTTCACTCCTCCGCCCAGGCTTGCACCAGTGGGAGAAGCCGCAGCACCAGCCGCAGCACCAGCAGCAGAAACGCCAGCAGCAGCAGTAGCAGCAGAAGCGGCAGCAGGAGTGTCTTCTTGTCTTGTTTTCTTCCCGCCTCCCTTACCTCCTCCCGCCTTGCACCCAGCCACCTTACTACCACCTCCCGGCTTCTGCACCTCCCCTTCTCCCCCCTGTCTCCCTGCTCCTTTGCACCCTCCTTTCTTGCTCACACTGCCCTTGCTCGCCCATCCCCTCTTTGCACTCTTCGTGCTGGTAGGGAAGAGGGAAGTTACCACCTGCACCACCAACGGACCCTCCACCTCTCCTCTCCTCACATCCCTCCTCACTCTCAGCCGCCCACCCTTGCCCATTGCAAACAGAGCCACCTCCTTTACAGGCACATCCTTCATAGTCACATCAACGAGCCTGCTTTTCTTTCCTAAACGACTGACACTACCAACCGTACTCTCACTACAATCAGGTCCCTCAATAACGCGTCTCTTCTTCCAGGCCCTACTCTCTCTCTCCCCCTCTTTGCCGCTTCCCTTGCCCTTCCCGCCCATGCTGCTTTCCTCTTTGCCTTTCCCCACCGAGTCTTCCCCTTCTCTTTTCTCCCCCTGCATCCCTTCCCTCCTTTCCAGTCGCTTCCCCAACCTCCTTACATTCCCCTTCCGCCCGCCCTCCCTCTCCGCATCCGCCTCTCCCGCCCACTCCCCTTTCCCTTCTCCTTCTCTAATAGTGGGTTTAGGGTTCGAACCTGCCTGGTTCGAACCTGCCTGGTTCGAACTGACAGATTTCCGTCCCTTTCCAGACGCAGATAGAACCGTCCCCAGTTGCTCCTGTCCGTGTTCCTGCCCTTCCCGCTCCGCCTCCCCCTTCCCCTCCACCTGCCCAACCCTCTTCCCCGCGCCCTGCTCCCCTGCCTGCCCCAGCCTGTGCCTCCCGCCCCTACCTCCACCGAACCTCTGCTCTCGCCCCTGGCCCTTGCCAAGCCTCTGCAGCCGCTTCGGTCCTTTCCACTCCCTCTCCCCCCTCTCCCTCCACTCCTCTCTCTCCTCCCACTCTTCCTCC